TCATGATCTCCTAGTTTACATGTAACTCATTGTTTTAGCTTTCATAACTTTCATAACAAGTCATAAATTCCTGTTTTGTTTATTTTTATACTTTCATCATAAATCCTCATTATGGTCCAATTTTTAACATACGATAAAGAATTTTTAAATATATTTTTTGTCCTCATTTTATTGATCTTCCTAATTAGAACAAATTATTTTAATTTGACTACTCTGTTTTGTCAATTCTTATTTCAATACTGTAATTCTATCCTATCATTTTCTGCCCTAGTGAACTTGTATTTACCAAACCAATTTTTCAGTCATTAGATTAGGTAAATTGAACAATCTTCACTTCAAATATCATAAAACTAAAAAAAAAAACTGTAAAATTTAAAGACTGCTATGCAGATAAAACTTAAGAGATACAGTACCTTCGTAACTCGGTGATTTATTTGAAGCAAGTATTATATATTGCTGTTAAACAATAAAGTTTAATACCATTTACGTTTATTATTCCCTCGTTATATCTCTTTGGACATTTACTTTGCCTAATTCTTTCATATACTACAAATGAGTAGCTCATTAGATTGATTTGACTGTACAGTGGTTAATCACTATTCCAAAGCCTGATATCCCAAATCATTGATTAATCCGCAAAAGATCGACTTTGAATTATCTCTTAGGATAACTCTGAATTGCCTGGATGTGACCAGATTACATGCTTGATTATGACTAATGTTGCCAGATTTTTGCTTTAAAGTACTGTATGCAAAAAATCTATAATGTAATAATAAAATAATCCCCTGATTACTGTAAATACTGCATACTAATTATATATATAATGAATTAGAGCAATAGAAGTGAACAATTTGAGGAACTGTAAAGAATAATTTTTTTTATTATAAGTTGTAGTGCACAAGTCTTTAAAGTGAAGAATACCGAGAGCACTAAGGTGGGTTGACCCTATTGAAAGGATCATCGTGTACCACTGAAAGTTGTGTGCAGTATTAATGAAGTTGAGAGTAACCAAGTAAGGTCAAGCAGATTATGGGAAGACATGGTGTGTACCCGCCTAGCTGTGCTTGCCTATCTATGAAAGGATGTGTAAAATGTATGGGATATAGTTGAAAAGATGGGTATTATCAGTTAAAGGAAAATTTGGGTGTTCCTGATGGTGCTACATAGCCTTCCCGGTTTGGTGCCTTCTTTTGATAATTACTTGGGTGTTCCTGTGTTGTGGTTCCGAGACCAACCTGTGTTGGTCTCGGTCTTTCTGTGTGGTAGTTTGTACTGTATAGCACTAAACAGCTCTGAAGGGGGCACTGATACCTTTACAGCTTCTCTTTATCTCACAGGGTTGATGCCTCACCACTATGGTAGTTATGTAGTTAGGTAATGGTAATTATGGAAGATGGTGTTCATTATGTATAACTTTGAAAATATACAGTATGTATAAATATATGCACTATGTATTTATTCATACTAATACTGTATATATGTACTGTATAAGTTGACCAAACCACACACTAGAAGATGGAAAAACGATGTTTTGGTCCACCCTGGACCATTATCAAGTCGATTGTGATGAGACGAGGGAGGCATGGACATAAGTAAGGCAGGAGAGATGAGGAGGAAACCTTAGAGGAAGGTAAGAACAGGGCAAAAGGTATGTTAGGGATTGGTGAAATAAAGGGTGTAAGGGGATAATAATTGGAGTAAGAATGGAAATGTAAGAAGAGAAAGAAAACACAAAAAAGTATGTGTAGACTTATGTTGTGTCACTTTTGTTAGAAAGTTTAGAACATTTGAGTATGTACTGTACTGTGGAAGGGAAGAGTCAACAGCAACAAAGCCAGGACTAAGGTTCATGTTGGTAGGTTGTGTGTCGGAGCCGATTCAACAAGACTGCTTCTGTGAAGAGTAGAGACAGAAAAGATTATTTCAGAAGACCAATCAATAAGATGACCAGAATCCCCAACATGACAGAAGAGAGCATTATTTGTGTCTGCAGACTTGAACACTTCTTTTGTGTTCCTTAAGTCTTGTCATTTAGCAATACTTAAGGAACACAAAAGTGTTTCAACCTTAGTAACCTAGATCACGTTACTAAGTCTATGGAAGGAAAGTGAGGGATTCAGGATTTTTTTAAAGATGGGGTATGGTTGCTGGAGGCCTGAGAAAGCAAATGTAAGGTCACTTGTATGGATAAGTTTTGAATCTTATGATATACTAACATCATCATATGTGTACTGGAGCGCCACCACTTCCCTTAATATGTCGGCTGGTACAGTGCAGGGGTTAAGAGTAGCGTTGATGTTATGATAATTTTCTCAGATCTTGGATTCTACTCTGGCAGGGAGTCCCAAGTTTAGCTTGAGCAGCCATCACTTTTCATTATACCGTATTGCTTTCTGGTTGACCTCTAAATGGTCTATCACTATTTCTACCACCTAATTCTATACAGGTGGGTGGTAAAGATGTTCTAGAATTCAATGTGATTATTGGTGGAGAGCATAGAACAGGTTGAATAATAATGTTAATTGATCTACTGAGGGAAGTCAAAAAGTGGGACTGGTTCAGCCTATCTGGCCTGAAGATAGAAATAGCGGATCTGAATGGGCCACAAAAAAATATGCATCATCCCATTGCGCAACCTCTTTGTCTGGATGGTAGAGTGACTTTCGCTTCATGCAGGTGAACATTCAATTCCCGACCATCCAAGTGGTTGGGCACTATTCCTTCCCTCAGTCCCATTCCAAACCCTTATCCTGATTCCTTCCAAGTGCTATGTAGGCATGGTGGCTTGATGCTGTCTCCTGATACATAGTTCCCTTCTTCATGGTTCACAAAACTATTCAACTTACTAAGGATCACTTAACAGATGTATTGGCCATGCAAAGTACCCACATGATAATTTTATGACTGTCATGTCCTGTTTACAATTTTTTCTTTTAGTTGAATGCTGAACCCTGATTTTTATTTTCAGAATAAAAGCTTTACAACAAATCCTTTAACACTTATCACATGATACTCTGCTCAGTAAATCTGACTTCTCTCATGTAGATAAGCTTATCCCTCTGCATCCTTAATATTATTTAAATTCTTTAGATTGAGGTATGCTTTTTATAGACATAATAGCTTAACAATTTATCTTTATAATTACCTACTTTATAGCTAACCACAATGCTTCCAGCTCACAACTACTGATATAAGCTTGTGCCTAGAGCTTTAGACTGTCCATAGCCTACATGGGCAAGGCTGATGATAAAGCTCCATCTGAAACCTTGGTTAAAAGTTCAAAAGATGGGGGTGGGGGGGGGGGGGTGTTCTCTGCTAATCTGAACCCTGGAATTCCTGAGCCCTCATTGAGCAGGATGCCGGACAAACCAATTCTATTTCTGGAGCCACAACTACCCCAGGGAGAAAACTATGCAGATGAAGTTAACTGTCTTAAGATTCTGCCAGTAAGGTGACAAAACGTTCATCACAAGCTCTAGATGAGAAGCCAGATCTCCTATGGTTTATGGGGATGAGATGATGGCTGCTTGGGATTTCAGCAAATTTATGAATCTGAATACTCCAGCACCACTCATGTCTGATTGCTAGACAGCCGGCATAGTGTGTACAAATAAGCCAGTTGTTTAGGTTGACCAAGACTTGGAAAATCTCAAACCCAACACACCAGTTATCAGACTGGTAAGTCTGATGAAAGTGTTCAGAGAGATTCATCACGGGGGAAGCCCTAAAGTGGAAACTGATGCTCTGGACATGTCCCCATGTGCTAACTGGCACTTGCCAGTTGGCATCCTAGAGATAGCGAGACGAGCCATTAGAAATACAAAGAATATGATGGATAAGTCTTGACAAATCAAGAACTATTCTCATTTTGGTGGAGCCCTTCATCATTGGGAAGAGACAGGACTGCATCCAAAGAGAATGAGTGATGGATATTACAGTCTTGTCCAATATTTAGCTATGAGCATGAAAAAGCAGGTGCGCGCCAAAGGTGGATTTTCTGGACACCACACTCTTGAACTCGGGAATTCCTGGCAGAGGCATGATAATGTTTGAAGCAGTTTCTCTATCCTTCTAACAGCTGGGAACACTACAACATGATTATGGGCAAGCAGGGGCAAAGAACCTCAATATAGTGTGGGAGTTTGTGAGGTAGGACTGTTTTAGCAGAGAAACAAAATATCCCTCTGCAGATACAGCACCTGTACCTCATCAGGGAACTTGAAAGACTGAAAATGGGTGAAGTGCAAAAAGAGACAGGGTGTGGAGGCAGAAACAAATGGCCGAGTTTCTTTCACCCTGATGCTTATGTTATCCTAGCAGTAAATAAGTACCTGGGAGTTAGACAGCTGCTACAGGCTGCTTCCTGAGGATGTGTGTGTGTGTGTGAAAATTAGGATTAAGGACCTGCAGGAAATGCTATGCATGCTAGTGGCTGTACAAGAATGTAAGAACTCTTGTACCGTATATATAAATAAATAAAAAAATAAAGTTGCTTGGTATTATTTTTATCTATTTTAATTCAAATCTTGTGTATTGTTCATTAAACAAATTTTAATTTAAAACAATATATTTATTTATATATTTACAAGAGTTCTTACATTCTTGTACAGCCACTAGCACACAGCGTTTCAGGCAAGTCCTCAATCCTATGTTTCCCAGAATATGACCCGCCAAATCGTTTAACAACCAGGTACCCATTTTACTGTTGGGTAAACAGAGGCTACAGTTAAGGATTGACGCCCAGTAAATTCTTCCCAGTCAGGATATGAACTCTGGACAAAGCGCTTGTGAAACACCAGGCGAGTGTCTTAACCACTACAGCATGAGGACTTGGGAACAATTTACAGTACCATCAGTCTGATTTTCAGGTAATCACAGTATTGTGCTGGCAGTACGTAATTATAATAACAATAATAATACTTTAATTTCTCTGAAATGTTCATTCTTTTTCTATTGCATGTGCACTCATCAGTCTGAAATATATTTCATGTTTTCTGCAGATCGAACAGTGTTAATTTGGTCTACCAAAGATTTTGGTAATAGAGAGCATAAAAGTGTGAGAGGAAACATAGAGTTTGACTTTGCAACTAAGGTACGCTGGAGTCCGGATGGCAAAGCTTTTATTGTCCACAAGTCCATTGCTAATGTTATTGAAGTTTACAAAGTAACTAAAAGACCCGATGGTACATTGGGAAACCCCCAGGTGGCTCTCACGTTCCCGCAGGTACGTTAAAAATGTGTTTTTATGCAATGAGAGATTTTATTAACACTGATTCTTAAACTTTCAACAGTTAGTTATGCTACTTTTTTTTTAATTCATTGAGGAAAGATGCATACTGTATTTTGTATATTGTCTAATGATATGATAGTGTGTATATGGTCTGGTGATATGATAGTGCCAGTTAATATTGATCATATGATGGTGCCCTGTTAAGATTGATCGCATGATAGGGCCATGTTAAGATTGACGATGTGATATTGCCATGTTAAGATTGATCACATGATAGTGCCATGTTAAGATAGAACTGAATAGTGCACCTCCAACACATTGAGTATACAAGGAATGTTTAGTAGGGAAAGGTTAGATGGTGTAAGATGTTGCACATGAAGGTTATAGAATGAGAGGCTGCAGCAGCAATTGTTGATAAGAACAAGAGGTTATTTTTATTAGATGCTACTAAGGGGAGAAATAATAAAGGGGTGTGAGGGGGGGGGTGTTAAGGATACATGAAAAGATTAGTTTGGCAGAAGAAAGCTCAAATGAGGAGCTTGGCAGAAAGGTAGAGTATTATGAAGATAAGTTGGGAAGTATAAGAGAGAGGCTGGCAGAGAAGTGATTGGGAATAGAGAAGAAGAAACATGGCATTATATTAGAAGACAAGATATTATATGAGAAGACAAACATGGTGCAGTATTATATTAATTGGTGGATACAAAATTAAAAGTAAGCGGTGAGAGCATTTTGTGTGTTTTCTAATTCAGTGAATTGGCCAGGTCTGTGGAGATTAATGAGCATGTATAATGCCCTTGTGAATATTGAGTGAATACATGGATGTTGTCATGAATGACATTAAAGTGAGATTACTAGTAATGCCTGTTAATTTAGAGTGGTGAGAGTAAATCAAGACATGTATCTAATCTGATGTATGAAGACTATGCAATTCTTCTGACAAAAAAGTTGGTTGACATATGTGAGAGAAGAACACTGAAAGTGAATGTGAATAAAAGTAGAGTTGTGGTTGTACAGAGTGAAGGAAACTCGCCATGTGAAGTAAGACTAAATGTCAATAGCTTAGAAGTGCTTGATCAACTTAAATACCTGTGCTTTGTATTGGACCAAGGAGTAATTTTTGGTGAGAAAGTTGAGTTAATTAAGTTTGTGAAGAAAAGTGGCTGACACAATGAAAGCCCTAGTTAGTAAGTATAAAATAGGAATAGACTCCAATTAAAGGGTTGCATGAAAGCGTTGTAGTACCAATCATTAGGTATAAAAGTGAGATGCTTAGGTGGTACCAGTGTGAAAACCACACAGTTGAGTTAGTAGAAATGGACTATCTGAGATGCATTTAGAGTAAGTATTATGAGAACATTGTAAAGAGTAAAAATGTTACAGAAAGATGTGTAGTGCAATTCTTAAAATGGTAAGACTGAGGAGAATGTATAGAGATGGTTTGGTCATGTTAAATAAAAGGATGATGGTAGGGTGGTTAAGAGATTGTTCAAATGAGAGACCTAGGAGGAGAGGAAAGCAAAGAAGAGGAACTGACATAGTGAGTTTGTGTGTGAGGAAGCATGGATTAAATGTGAACAGCACAGAAAAGTGTAAGTGAAAGCAGTTTGTTAATAAGGGAGGAAATGTTTAATGTGGTTTTTATATGACTAGTTATAGAAATCATTATGCAGTGTATATGTTGTCACATGAAGCAGTGGCGTACTGCTGTGGATGTGTTGTTGGAGTGGCAATTCTGATTCTGTGTAGTGCAGTTTATTGTGGAAGATCTAGTGAATGAATGATATTTTCCTCCAAACTGATACCTCCCCATCCCCCTGTAAATTGGAAATGGGGTAATAGTTTCTTTGAACAATGTGACTTAAATTTGGATAAATATTCTACAAACACACTTTACATTATGTAAATTCATGTAGATATAATTCATTAACATATGAAATGCATAATTACTTAGAGATGTTATTAAATAAATATTAATGTTTAATAATTTAATGGAACAATATTGTGCAACTTTGAATGGAATGTGAGAAAGGAAATGTAAATTACTGCGTTTCTAACACATGGTATAATTTGTTATAGCAAAATGAAGAAGCCGACGTGATAGCGCTGGATGTGGCTGTGTCGGGTAAATTCATCATGACCTGCAATAACAAGAACCAGCTTGTGATATGGAGTCTGCGTGGTGATATATTAGAGACTGTTGATACACACCATGGCGACACATACTCTGCCACGCTGTCACCTTGTGGACGCTTCGTTGCAACTACCGGTATGTGTGTGTTCTCTCGCTGATTACGTTACTCGAGAGATACATTTGGTCTAGTAAAGATCATATTTTGCTGCAAACATAACATATCTCAAGTTGTTGTTTTTGTTCAGATTTTATATTGAAATGAAATTAATATAACTAAAGTTATTATTTTTTAATAAATTTGCAAGCCATTGAACTTTAAAAAAATGCAATCCTCTGCATTTTTGTTTAATTAAGTATTGTGTAGTGGCAATTTTTGTTTACTTTGTTAGAAATATATGTAGATTCAGTAGGTGATGAACTCTTATTAAAAAAAAATTCCAGGGTTTACACCTGATGTGAAAGTATGGGAAGTAAAATTTGGCAAGACAGGAAATTATGATGGAGTGAAGCGAGCGTATGACCTCACAGGGCACAAGGCTGGCATTTATAGCTGTGACATCAACTGTGATTCTACCCGCATGGTGTCAGTCTCCAAAGATGGGACCTGGAGACTCTTCGACACCAACAGTAAGTTGTGTATAGTATCTAGATGTCTGACTAACATTGTTCTATTTGACTGACTTTCAGAAACAATCTGTTTACCAGTCTGACAATCTGAATTATACCCTGGAGACCATAAAACACACATCACATATAAGGTCCATGAGTTCTACTCAGTGAATATGACTACTGTGCTCATATTTTGTAACTGTACAGATTTAGAGCACAAGTTGAACTGATGTTTAATCCATTTGGTGGTCTAAACCTCGTTCCAAGGCAATGAACACCAATAACAATACATGATACACATCTTGCCTCTAATGCACCAGTTGCTCACCCAAGACTAGATACCATGAACTATCTACCAGAACTTTGCGCAAATAAGCTCATTACCAGTCATGCCATTTAAAATTAAGAAGTGCAGTAGCATACTTTGTAACTAGTATACTGTACCTCAACCTCACTGTAATACCTGAAGAATATCTGTTCCATTAATACAGATTTTTCCTATATTGAAATATTGTATTTTCAACCTTGTAGTTTATTATATTTGACTTGGAAATTCTATATATTTCCAAGAGGTCACTCCTGACTATGACAAACCCGATGTGTTAATAGGACTAAAAAATAAAAATATTATTGTTTGCATTGGCCATGCCTGACTGACATGTAACTTGGGAGCACACACATTCAGGTCCCAATGACTTTCTTTGAATCAGATGATGTACAGTTTGTATAACCAATTTCCTTAATCTCTTAAATACTCTTTAGTGATTACTGGCCTCTAACATACTCAGTACAGTATATATTTATTACTGAATAATTCAAGGCACAGCGATACACACTTACTTATTCCTTGGAAATTTAGCACTTCACGTGCACTCCTCATGAGTCTCAGAATCATTTATCCTCATAACTCATGTCATATCCAAACCATAATGACTATTTACATAGAAGAAACTGATATTCTAACATGCATTATAACTTGGGTGTCTTTCATACATTTGCATTTATTTATTTATTCTCTTTCATTTTTGTTTTGCAGTTGAATATGAGAAAGGTCAACTAGTATACTTGCTGCATACAGGAAATTATGATAAAAAGGATTATCCTGCCAAGATACGCCTCTCTCCTGATGGGCGGACCATAGTGATCGCTTCTCTAGCTACCTTGACATTCTTCTCTGCTATTACTGCCGATAAACTCAACACCATCGAAGATATTTACTCAGGTACGAAAATAGACCAATGCTGCTTAATTTGAGAGGAAATCTCTCACTAGGTTGACTTACTTTCTGAGGTGTTCTCCATCCTACATCAGCCCTAAATTAAATGTGTATGACGCCCTTTTGAAGTCCATGCTGCTGAAAGTCGTGAACCTTCCGTTGGACGACTCTCAATGGGAGCAAGCAACCCTCCCTGTAAAACTCTGTGGCCTTGGTGTCCGCCCAGCTTCCCAGATTGCTCTACCAGCCTTCCTTTCCTCCTCCCATGCATTGCACGACCTCATAAGAGATATCCTACCAGAACCCCTGAGTGATTCAGTAGGAATACACGATCCGGCTTTCACTGAATGTTAAATCAGTGGGGAGGTGCTCTTGCGGCCCCAACACCCATCATAGATCCAATAAAAAGCATAAACAGTCCAGCTGGGACCACCCACTAGTGGAAAAAATGGCTGATGCCATGCTCAGCGCTGCAACATCAGACCAGGAGAAAGCCTGCCTCAGGGCAGTGCATGCCCCCCCCCCCCCCCCATGCAGGAGACTTCCTTCTGGCAGTACCGATGCCGGCAATGGGCACAAGTCTAGATCCAGAATCCCTTCATGTAGCAGTGGCCCTCCACTGCTACACAAAGGGATGCCCCAATTTACACTGAATACAAGTGTATTTGCAACAGGGTGGAAGCAGACCAATGTGGACTGCATGGGTTGCATTGCGGAAGATCCAAGGTCTGGCATGCAAGACACAACGAGGTTAATGATATCATCAAGAGGAGCCTTGTCTCGGCTCAGTGCCTAGTGGGGAGAGAGAGAGAACCTTGCATCCTAAGGGACCAAAACCCCGCACTTCACTCAGATTGCATCACAATATACCCCTGGAAGAGGGGCAGACAGCTGGTGTGGGACTACATGTATCCACCCTGGCTGACACCTACATACACTTCGGTGCTGATCAAGCAGGTGGGGCGGCCAACCACAGGGAAACAGCAAAATCAGTCAAGTACAGGCGACTTGAAGGTCAATACACCTTTGTTCCCATAGCGTCTGAGATGCATGGCCCCTGGGGTAAGCGTGCTCAAGGAATTGGGTTGACTCTGGTGATGTTAATGAGCCTATGGCTCATTGTACATACATATGTACATACATACATATATACATACATACAAAAATACATACATACATACATATATACATACATATATACATACATACATATATACATATACATACATATACATACAGACAGTATCAAGTAAAAACAAAAAGATATATACTGTACTATGGTACAGTATATGGAAATGTTTTGTGTTGCAGAATGGCTAAAGACCTGCATAGAGTAGTAATCACTTTATTCACACCAAAATTTATCGTTACTTTTGTTTTGAAGAAATGGACACTCATAACTTTTTTTTTCAAATATTGAAGATAAAGGAACTTTTAATAGTTTAAATAATTCATTTGAAAATACTTATTTTATTTTTCCAGGTGACATCATGGATGTAATTATTGATCCCAGTAGCAAGATTGTAATCACACTGGGGGACAAGCATGTGAGAGTGTTTCATAATGTGGCTGGCTACATGGCTACAATTCAGGTTAGTTTAAATTTTCACTATTTATGAGGTATCGTTGCTTGGGATACCTTATGACTACTGAATTTTTTCCAGCGCAGACATAGTCACACGTCTGCTTCCAGAACTCTCCTTGTCTGAACTGTCTGTCTGGAGAGCAAATGGCCTTTGCAGGAACAAAGTCAAGGTTGGCCAGCACTGAGCTTGAAGCAGAGGGGCTTGCCACATCTGAAAAACTTGGAACACTACTGTCTAAGTGGATAGCAAAGAATGTATTAGAAAAGGAAGATGGCTGCATACAGAAGCTGGACTGCCTGGTGGTAGCATTAGGTATTAAGAGTTTTGCACTACTTTTCAATGTTTATCGTGTTCTGTGTGAGTCATTTGCAGAGTTTGGTGGTTTCAAACCTTTGGTCCTTGTTAACCCTCCAGTTGGCTGTAAACCTTCACTGACCTTTCAAACGCTTTCTTGGTGTGATGGTGAATTGTCAATTACTCTTTGCACCTCTGTGAGGGAAAGGGCCAGGTTTTGGCTGTGGTCCCCAGTAGGCCAAATAGATCTCGTGTCTGATGTGAGCCCGTATGCACAGAGCAATCTCACTGAAATAGCTTTAGGAAGTTACTAGGGCCTCCTACATTACCTACCTTGTGGAGGTTCTGAGGACCAAAGACCCGGCAGCCCGGGTTGTCTGGTCAACCCGGCCGTTGGATGCGGCTGCTCTTAATTTGACATATGAATCACAGCCTGGTTAATCAGGTATTCTTTGGAAGTGTTTGTTGAGTCCTCTCTAGAACACTATGAGAGGCCTGCCAGTTATGCCTATTATGTGTAGTAGGAGTGTTGAAAAAGTCTTGGGGTCCCTTGATGATAATAGAGTTCATCCCCAGGGTACCCATTGCATATGCTTTTCAATGGGGGGTATTTTTCATGTCCTGTAATCTCTTGTGTTCAAATTTGAAACCAGCTCCTCTAGTATATATTAATAGTAATTTTACCAGTGTGTTTTTCATTGCAGGATCTAGAGCAAAGTCAACAAAAAGCAACCAACTCAGCCATGAGGGACCGTATCTATCATCAGATTAAGGATGCTAAGAAAGCACTGGAAGATATCAAGAAAGTTACTGAAGTGAAAGCCAAATGAAGCACTGCAGACACTTGTTGTTTCATTCCCTGTACAATGCCTGACCATGTACAAGATTTTACAACTGGGTAGAGGTTCATAAAGGTGTTTAAGTTGCTTTTGTGTTGTTTTACTTAGCATTTGAGTTTTTTTTAAGATATACTAGGTTAAAGCTATGCACTGCCAGCTACATAACTTTCTTCATTGGGCATTATCCTATGTCTAAATAGAATTTTTGAAAATAATGTCATATTGATTTTAACATTTAGTATATCTGTAATGACATGCAATATTCAGTTGAAAAGGGTAAATATTTAGAAAGAGAATCTTATGTTTATGTTAATAAATTTAATTGACTTAGGAAGATTCCATAGGTAATGTATCATACGTTGTGATGCAGTAGTCTCTTATCCATCTTTCGTATCGCCATTTGATTTAGACATATTTTGAAGTGGCACAATAGATTTATTATAAATAAAATGTAAATCAATAGAGTTCAATTGCCAGAATTGCTGCTAATGATTACTTTTCTCTCTTATTTGATGCCTTGTTGCTTCTACATGTTTTCTTTCTCTCCTGCAGGGGTAGGTATCTTAGTCAGTAATATTGTAGTTAATAGAATTTGAATAAGGTGCACTGAAGATCAACTTGAGCAGTTACCTGGGCAGTATATGTCATGCAGGATCATGTCTACTCATAAAGTTTTACCTCTGACCATTTCTGGTTTCTTCAGTTCATTAACAACAAAAATAATTAAGAGAAATAGGCGGCTGCACAAGTGAGGCTGTTGTTAGTAACATGATACCTGCCTATATTACTTTATACATATTAGCTTAATAATGCAAGTTATGAATGATAAGTTTTATTTGCATCATACACAGTACTGCATATATTGCATCTTGCTTACCCAGTAAAAGATAACAAGCCGCTCAAATACTGTAGTTAATATTATATATGTTTTTAATTAGAGTAAAGTTTTGTTGAGTTTTTGATAAATATTGAATCTTGGCTTGATTAGTATTGGTTGAAGAACAGGAACTGCTGGCAAGTATGTAGAGAAAAGCATCATTCAAAGGCGAGTTATTATTTTTTTCAATGTTTCATTCACAGCAAATCTTTGTTTAAAAATAGACTTGTCCTTGAACAATGTTTAATTAGTATTTATTGACATGCTGACTGTTCTTAAGATTTGTCTCGGTAAGAGATGGGAACATTTGAAAGACACTTTTGTATTTGAGAACATGTTGAAAAACAACCAGTTGAAGCTATTGATTGAAATATTAGAGAATCATACATAGAAAAATTGACAGCCATTGCTCTATTTCCCCAGGATAGAGGGGCTTTGCATAGCCAAGCCAGATGGCTAACATGTACAAACAGGTTCCTTTAATGTTGTAAATGAAATAACATGTTGAATTGTCTGAAGTGTTCAGGGGGGGGGGGACACATTTCGATCATTGAATGGTGTAATTGTAACATAACTCATAAAAAAGAGAAGTTCACAAAACATTTTACCTTTGTATCTTGATTTGAATATGTAAGTGATGAAGTACAGCAGTACAGTCACAGTACAGCAATATAAATATTTATTTGTTATTTTTGTGACTTATAGAGAGTAATCATATACATTCCACTTTCAGGTTAATATGTTGAGTGTACACTTATGTACACTATTTATATTTGGATATCTTCAGCCAGCTTGACTAATCTTTAAGTAACAGAGCTCGATCATTGCTGCCAGAAACTACTAAAATAAAAACACATTGTGCACCAAGTGTTTGATATATGTAAGTGTTAATTGGAAAGGGTTTTGACTTGCATAATTCTCATTAGTAGTTCACCAGTGCATAAACAAATTTTGTCTAGAGTACCAAGGATAAATGTATTTTAGATTAATGATCATCATTGCCATTTCCTGCTCATGGAATGGTGAAGCACTTGCCTATTAAGATTGGAAAATAGAACTGGAAGACAAAAGATATTTAGTGTTATACCTGGCCTTTTTAATAATGCCTTCCATTCTCAGGAGTTTCACAAGAATTTAGTACCACCACACAAGCAAATACAGCACTGTACTGATGACAATGCTTTGACCTTTTGACTTACTAAATGCTTCATGGGATTTCTCACAAGCAAATTTTCAATCACTTCTGTTGAAACTTTTACTGCAACTCAGTTTTGTTCATTGCCACTTATCCCTCTTTCATTATTCACACACATACCACTCTGTCTGTCCCACACTCACGGTATTTGCTCAACTCAGCCTTCATGTCTCTTACATGACCAAACTATCCTCGCACACTTCTCATTCCAAGTGACTCCGGTTTTTCATTCCACATCTTTTATAACAGAAGACTCGTCCAACATTAGTACTTACTTTACATCCGTACGTTGTGTTAGAATAGCCCTTTACTCACATCGCTCCTTTGTTGTTCATTTTCACCAGAGCATTCACGACAAGACTGTCATCTGCATACACCAAGTTTAATATACTCAAGTCAGTTTGTACATTTTTCAGCGCACTTTTTAAATCTTCATCCTTCCATACCCTTAAATCTAGAGATGAGTGCTGTACCTTTAATCTTTACTTTAACAACCTTCATCTCTAATTTCAACACTCAAAATGCAAGTATTTTACCAGTAGTGCTTACATTCACATTCTCTATGGTGTAAATATCAGATTGTATTAATGTGGCTGCAAGCAGCCTCATTGGCTGACCAGACCACCAACCAGGAGACGTGGTCAGAGACCAGGTCATAGGGTCATTTATCCTCGGAATCAACGACAGACGTATAACAGGTAATCCATCATGCTATGTATGTTTGGTGTAAATATGTTGCTTGACAGAAGTGTAATGACCAATTCTTCTATTTTAATTTACTCAAAAGTTAGGTAAAAAAAAACATATATATATATATATATATATATATATATATATATATATATATATATATATATATATATATATATATATATAAAATATAAAATTGTGGAAAATGTTGAATGTCGTGAACAGGGAAAGTGAAACTACAAAAAGATTCATAATTCTGTATCCTGTGGTGCAGAGTAAGCACCTTAACCTGCTCACTTAACAGGTAAAATGACCTGGGGCTCAAACACTTTGGAATGATCCTTTAATATTCACCCCTGTATACCCCATCAGTAATTGGAAACTTGTTTGTAAAACGAATGGCATATTATGCTCTTGAGAAATCCTGGTGCTGAATAACCTACCTGGCCTCAGCCTAAATCTTGACATTTAAAGATATGCTCCATAACCCTTGTATTGTTCGCTTAAGTAAAATGTTGGGTTTATTTCTACTTGTATGACACTTGTGCAAAATATTTGTTTTCTCGAGTTTGTTCAAAAAATGCAAAATCGATTGTTTGATTTTGTGTGTAGATTAAGTCCAGCTTGTCTCAAGACCGCTCCTTCATTCACATTTTAATCAAAACAGTGTATAAAATACTAAGATCTATACAGGTGGCAGTTATGGAAAGCGCAATAGCAGGTCATGGGTCAATGATGAAATAAGTTTCAAGATCCTGAAAACTGGAGGTTGATAAATCATTGGACAGAATTGATTGAGAAGTAACAAAAAGATTGCTTACTATATTGAAGACATTTCTTCAGCTTAAAAATCTGTTTCAAAATTTTACCGTTATTTTATTTCTAAAAGAAAATGGCTAGTCTAAAATACTGCACATATACTTGCATATTAAATTATAAAGCTAGATATTTCTCAGCATCCTGTTTAATATCTACAGTGTTTTCCACAGTTGCCACTCCAGGGTAGATGCTCTTTTATTAACAAATATGAACCCTTATAGTTCTTATTTTATCAGCTGCAATATTGTAATTTAATCATCATACATCATACAATAGTAATTACCAAATGAAATTATTTTTAGGTTGGGGCTTGAGCATTGTATTACCAAAAAGTTTTCTTTAAAGTGTGAGAGAAAGAATGGATAGAAGTAAACAAACTAATAATTTGACGTAATATTAAAAGGAACTGTCGGTTCAATGTTGAGTCAAATGTTATTACCAACATGATATATTTTATAGTTTTTTTGCATGCATGCATGTGGGTGGGTGTGTTTCTGTCTGCATCTGAATTTATTTTTCTTTGTGGTTGCATGAAAAAATGCAACTTGTAAAATAGCAGTTTTATGATATATAATGACAAAGATCGATGCCATTCTTCTCAAGATTTAGTTTTTTGCATTTTTCCTCTAGCATGAACTATATACAGTATACTCAGGTACATCAAAAAGAAAACACAAATATTTTATACTGTATTTTAACACCTAGGTCTAGATTGCTACTAAGGACAGGATGTATATTGTTCTGGTGTAGCTCCAGTATCTTTGGTATTTACTGAATGAACTGTGATAACATTTTCATTGTGCAATGCTTTTTAAATCAATGTTATACTAAGATTGAAAGTGAAAATATAATCTTGTAGGTAAAAGTTAGGATTATGGTCAAATGTTCACTAAATAAAGCAGCACCAGTTACCAGGTGGGCCAGGAGAGATCCTCTTTGGTATTCACTATCAAGTTAATGACAATATCTCACCAAAAGTAAATTGAACTGATTATTATTTGTTTGTATTTATTGAATTACTTGAATTATTTTCAAGTAAGTACTGAAATCTGGGTAATTGAGACTATTGTACAGTTCAGTTTTGTTTAATGTAATATGGGTTTTGTGATGCTTTTTGATTTGCTGGTTTCCATTCAACGCAATGTATGCAAAAATGCAATAATTATTTTGCACTGCTCACAGATATTTTTTAGTTTTATTGTGAGTCATTTCAAATTTGTAATTTTCTTTGTGTGTGATGAATCAACAAGATTTCCCACTGGTATTGTGCACAGAGGAAAATGCTTTGGATGATATGGATTTTTTAAAGTTTAAATCCAGTAAGGTGAATGGACTCATGTATTTGTGTATCCAATAAGGTAGTCTAAGACAGACACCACAAAATGGTTTGTTTTGGGTAATGGGATTGATTTGTGGCTCAGATAATAATGGTAGTTGCTGTGAGTGTTCATCACATTTATTTTGCATTGGGACACAAATGGCCACATTTGAATAATTGTATGGCCTTCGTACTGGAATGTTACAAGTTTAAACTTTTTAGTTTAGTATACACACTTTGTTCTGTATGTGGTGCTGAGATTTTTCATTTTTGTTGGTGCCTAATCAATTATGAGGCAAGTAAATAAAGCCCTGTAATTTACAAGTGTCTCATAGTTCAAAATCCAAATACAGTATTTTAATTAAAAAAATAATTGCTTGAAATCGGGATAAAAAATGACAAAATCATAATTTCCACTCTTGTCTTTAAAGGTAAATGCGTGAGGTTAATTTAAGAAGTGTTTAGTTCACTGCAAATAACAAGGTAGATTTCAGTTGACATTAAATACTTTTATCATAAGTCCCAATTTTCAAGATGTCTGTATGTCTTGCTTTCCTTATGTCCCTCAACAGAGTGCTTAGTGAATCTGATATTGATCATCATAGGTGCTTTTGTTCTCAAATTGGCATCCTCAGTGATATTTAGTGCTTTTTGCATATCCTGCAGCACCAATGGTCTCCCAGCTTGGTGCCATCTTTTGATGATTACTGCAAACCCTCAAAGTATGGGTATAGTCAGATGACTATTTACATGTTATTATTTGATTACTGTCACCATACTTTCAACCCGTTGTTGGTATGATGGGCGGCTATCAGAGTGTGATTCTCCACGGGACAGTGTTTCCTCTGTCCCTTTGAAGCTTTCTGCTCCTGAATATACTCCCCCCCCCCCTTCATTCACCCCTCTTCCCCTTCTCTCAAAATATATTAAGAAATTGCACTGGTAAAGCCAGCCTATGTTCATCCTGTCTTCACATAAAATTTGATTATACTGTACCTGTATTTTGCAATTTTCTTCTATAACATTTGACTTGGCTTGAGGCATTTTAAATTTCTGGAGATAAGAAATAAGAAGCGTCATTATACACTATTGCATACAAAAAAACTGAATTCCATAAATAAATTTCCCACTTGTTCTCAGTTTGACAAAAGATTTATACTATACCAAGGAAGACATCTATGGATGTCTAAGTTATTAACATCTTTCCTATGTATCTTGAGTACTAAATCTATTTTGAAATTTAAATATAATTCTAGAATTTCTGTACATTTGTACTGAAACAAAATGTTGTGGAATGTTTCCCGCTTCCAAACATTTAAGACCTCTGTATATTTTCAGAGAATAATAAACTGATGTAAATGTATCACTTTATTTTTTGTTTAGTCTACCATTTATTGTACGTTGTTATCTGCAGCCTCTGTGAACTGCAACTGTTCATCTATATTTCCAGCAAGTGAACTTACATCATCAGGAAATCCTGGAAGTTCTCCACGCACTTTGGATGCCTCCAATTTGCTGTGCAGCTTCTTATATCGCTTTTGTTCCTGCAAAATTAATGCAATGGTTAAAGCTGAAGTAGAGAAGATTAAAAATCAAGTTAATAGTATACTTTTGTGACTTGTGTATGCATGTTTATGTTGGAATGTGTATTGCACATCAATAAGAACTGATTGTTTTATATGGCTAATGCTGTTCTCATCATGTGCTGTGTCTTGCCCACTGCTGGTCTCTGGCCAAGCAGGATTTGTTGTTATATGACAGGGACTAGCTGCTTTAAATTTGGGTCTATAGTAGACCTGCTTCCTGACTCTTGGCTTGCAAGTAATTATGCTGTCTGAGGAAAAGTAGCAGCTGTTCATTTCAAGATTTTGTCCTCCCAGCCTTTGTGAATGAGTTATACAAGACACTTGAATTGGCCGTCTTTAATTGTGAGGCAGTTCTGCCTAAGTTGTTTTGTCTTCAGACTTGCAAAATTCAGTTGCCAACCTCTTCTGTTACAATTGGTCTACAAAAGCATCACCATCTCTCATGATGAGATGAAGTGATGTTCAACTTTTCTACCACTAACTAAGCAGATCTCTTCTTATAGGCAAGAGGGAATACAGTCCTTCCTGTCCTTTGGCTAGTGCTCTGTTGCCTTTTTTGTGATTTGCGCTACAGTGGCCTCTTAGCATGGGCACAGATTTTTTGGCATTGCAGCAGATGTCTACTTCATACATTCTGAAGATGTCAGTGTGGAGGGTGACTGCTGTGCTGTTTTCTTTTCAGGTCTTTATTGACACAATATTTCGGCTGTATTGGCAAAATATTGACATAGCATTTACACTAATAAAGATAAAATGGGGGGGGGGGGGGCAAATAAAATATTAGATGCAACAGTTGGGTTTCAAAATCAATAGTACCATTTGAGAGGATTTCACTATACATAGCAACACACATGTGCACAAAAAAATATATTTACACAAAAATTTACAGAAGCTTAATTAAATTTTATGCACATAGCCCTGATGCACATATAAAGTACTTATGACAATCTGAAATTCTGTTCAAATGTTGACTTTCTGAATGTAGATCAATACCTCTAATTCTTACATACCTCCAATGTTACTGATGGTTTAATCTTTCTAAGTGCAGCAGCAAAATGTCTCTTTGCAACAAAGCGCTGTACTGCAGGTTCATTATTTATTGCTGCTGGAGTTGTTGGTGGTATGCAAGCTGCAGAGTTGTGTATCACCTCTCTGATGGCTTCCTTGCTGGCTAAGTACACCAACTGGTCACAGTCAGCACCCGAGAAGTTGTCGCAGAGACGGGACACTTCCTCAAGGTCGACATCGGAGGCCAAGTGAGGACATGTCCCATTCTGAGATATATAAATGTTCTAAACAAAGCAATATGAGATACACTAGCACACAACACCCAGGCAACCAGAACAACAAATATACAACAGTCACTTCCCTAGCATGGTTTCTCAGCAAATACTGTATATACAATAGACAAACTACCCAAATGGTTTATTAACAAAGCTGAATGAAAGCTACAGTACTAGCATGACATTCTCTTCTAAAAGAATTTACAGACAATAGTTTTATTAAGATAATCATGTATGCTGCAAATACACTTTGCAGGACCACAGGTAGGCCAGAAAAAAAATGTACAATGGTGGAATTAAATGTACACACGTCATAAAATGCAAAAAATCATTGCTGATAAGATTTGAATTATTGACACAGGATAAGCTTAATTCTCTTCAAGAATATGGGTTTAATGTGCTTTTGGAGTTTTTTTTTTTTTTAAGCATCATGCTCTGTTGCTCCCCAAGGTATGATCCTTCTGGGTCCCATAGGGCAGGATCACGACAGTGAGGACAGGTCAGCATTTAGCACGAGTGCCACAAAATCTTGTCTATGGAGGGGACATGATGATGCTATGGAGGTACTAGAACCTTAACCATGGAGCCTATCTGATGTAAACACTTGGCTGAACATGAGCTGTGTTCATGTGAATTCAATGCCTCGGTTCTATATACTGTACAAAGATTTACTGTACAATGTAAGGTGAAGAAACTATCAGTTTTATTGATATATTATTACTGTAACAATAACAAGTAAATAATCAAAATATCCCAACAATATTCATTGTGCAATAAATTTGAATCCAAATAAAATATATGCTCTTACCTTTGTTCGAGCCTGAAAAATTGACACTCTTCCAAGATGATCAGGCACATCTACATATAGAAGTGTGTCAAACCTTCCCGGCCGAGTTACTGCTGGATCAAGAATGTCGGGACGATTGGTAGCGGCTATAACATAAACATCCTCTCGCTTTGTAAATCCATTCATCTCCGTCAGTAGTGTGTTTACTATGGTGGTTTTACTGCCACTCTGTTAAAAGGAGTTTTAATTTATCCAATAATTAAGGCAATGACAAGTTAACACATACATGAAGGTATGTGTGAAAAGCACCAACTGGAATGTGCAATGTTGTATGGTGTTCAAGAAGCACATCAATAAACTGGAAAAGGAGTCAAGACATAGTACTAAATAGCTTCCAGATATGAAAACCAAAAGTTACTAGGAGAGGCTACAGGCATTAAATATGTTGAAGATAGAAAGTACACTACATACCAAACAGAAACAAGAATCGATAAAATTGACAATGTGGAATTCTTGAAAGCTGCAACTTTAAAAACAAGAGGGCATAGATTCAAGCTTAGGATGCCAAAAGAGAAAGTTCTCTTTTGTAAACTGTGAGGTAGACAGTTGGAACTAGTTAAGTGACAAGCTGGTGGATGTTTGTTTGGTGGTGGTCAGTTGTTTCAAAGTGTTGTATGACAGTATTGGAAAAACAGGACACCATGAGCATAGTTCTCATCCCATATCTACACTTAAGATGTTGAGAAAAACCACTTAATACTGTATTAATTTAGGTTATTTTGTTATATTAATTATCTTACAGTTCTCATCCCACTGTTGTCGCATCGCTGACACACAAAGTGCTTGGAGAACATATTTCAGATAAATATTGTTCCTGCAGCCCCCAAACAATATAAATGAAAAATGGGAGATAACATAATAATGAACTTACTTCAGCTCCTTTACTTCTGACTGGACAGAGTGAATCAAATTCATCAAAGAAGATGACACATGGGGCCACATTGCGTGCACGTTTGAATACTTCTCGTACGGCTCTTTCACTCTCGCCTTGATACTGAAAGTTGTAAAATAATTCAATTGTGTAAGCGTATCTCAGAATATTGTATAGCAAACACAGGGAATACAGTGTAGCTAGGCCCTTACCTACATCCATTGGGATGACAAGAGGACAAATGAGAAAGGTATCCCCCTAAGCAAGCTTACCTCAAGACATGAACAAAGTGAAATGATTACAGGCTCCAGTAACAAGTAAATGGAGTATAATGAACATAGGCTGATATAATAAGCACAGGTTGAAGTAATGAACACACTGGTTAGTATAATTAATACAGGCTGGTATAATGAACACAGGCAGGCTGGTGTAATGAGCACAGGATGGCATAATGAGCAGAGGCCTGGCATAATAAGCACCAGGATGTCTGGTGGCAGCCTGGTGCTCAGTCCAGCATCAGTTATCAGAGCAGTTAGGTCATCTGCTCATGTATAGCCAAGAGCAATGCAGTAGTGCTCCTCTGTGACATCTTGCAGTACGTCTCAGAGCTTCTAAGCTAAGTACCTAACAAAAAGTTAGGAAATTGGATGGCAGGAAGCAGCTGCTATCAAAAGGAACTGTAAAACAACCACCTTTGGAAAGATGTGAAAAAGGGGAGGTAGATAAACAAAAACAGCATTGAATGTAATTAAATGCCATGTTCTGGGCGAGCTTTGGAGGCCCCTGAAGCTACCTTACTGATCAAGTACCATACTACTTGAATGTCATCAGTCAGAGTCCTTTGTAAGCCTGCTGGGGACCATGAGCTAGAACCTGGCCCCTTCAGAGAGGTGAAGGGAGCAATGACGCATGAACACTTTCAATTTAAAGTATGTCATTTTGCCATCGAACATGGAAGGCACCCAGAAAGGTAGGCGAATCAAAACAGACTACTGCCTGGTTAAAAAGTGTGATCTACATCCTCACAAGTGAAAAAGAACTCTCCCAGAAAGCAAACAAGCAAAACTTCGTTCAACTAACCCCTCGCTCGTTAGCTCCACCCATCCAGCAGGGGGGAGAGGGAGCTGGCCTGGACAAGTCAGGCTGCCACCATCCAGTTCTTTGAATGATGAAAACTGCTGACCAGAGGGAGGGAGGGCATCAGGAAGCCTCTGGAGCTCCCTTAGAAACTGGCATTTAATTACATTCATTGCTGGTTTTCTGTAGGGAAGCCCCGTTGGCTCCCTGAAGCTAATTACCCACAGAGAAGGAAAACAGGGAAGAACCCGGGAGGCGGCACCCATGAAGATCACAACCCAACAAAGACAGCCGTCCATTACAGAAATCCCAAAGCAACAGAGGGCCCGGGATGGTCATTGAGAGATCTGGCGGCCAGGACCCTCGAGCCCAAAAACCGTCCAAAGACAGCCGAAAGAGTTGCATACTTCCTAACATCATGGGCACGAGGGTAGACTGCAGGCCAGCTATACTTAATGACAATGCAAAAAAACCACACACACACAAGCCCTGGAACAGGGAACCAGGGAAACCAGATCAACCCAGAGCACAGCCACTGACACAGAACTGGTGGCCCGCAGGTTGCAGCATAAAGCCGCCACTAGACACAGCACATGATGCACCCCCGGCCTAACCAGCCAAGCATCCACAACCAACGGACCCCGCTCCGGAAGCCTGCCATCTCATTCTTCGCCAGAAGAGGAGGAGCTGGGTATAAACGAACAAAACCCCCATTGCCAGAGAAGGTGGACCCACTCAGGACTACAAGTTGTTTCAACCACATTAGGAGCAGGACTGGCCATCAAAGGCAGCTATTGGTACTAACATTACAGGGTTTGAGCCAGTTTTGAGTGGACTAATTGTATAGTCTGAATCATCTGAAAAATCTATTTGCAGATGTCTGTTAAGCTTTGCTATTTTCTAGATGCTTTCTCAGCAAGGGATGATGATAATAGTCCAATACTTTCTGAGCCTGTGAAAAAGGAAGTGGGGGGGAAGGTTCCAACTCTGGTAGGCCAACAGGACTTCTATGACTGATGTGACCCAGTACTGTAAAACAATCTCAGCAAGATGCTGAGCACCAAGAGGCTCCTCCCAGAAAAACATAGCAACAAATGCACAATGACAGCCTAAAACTCACCCATTCATGTATGCACACAAAGGCAAACAAAAAAAGTAATGATAAAACCCTAAAACAAAAATTCATCTTACCATATTTAAAAGCTCCGGTCCCATTATTGGCAACAAATTAATGCCTGCCTCATTTGCAACAGCTTTGGCCAGCAAGGTCTTTCCACATCCAGGAGGACCCCACATCAAGATTCCATTGGGGCGACTTGCTCCAAATTCTTCATGTAATTTCGAATATTGGATGGGCTCCTGTTAAAAATATATTACCAATGTTAATAATAATACATGTAATATTAATCAATTAGATATGGTTTAACTAATTGGGGCAATAAAAATAGATCTGGGTTAGCATGCCTCAGTATTCAAACAGGGTGAAGTAATGGATTACAGTGGTGTAATGGGTATGGGCTGATATAATAGTAATGTGTACAGCTGGTATAATGAGCAAAGATTGGTTTAGTGTTGTGAAGTACAGTACGTAGTGCTGATGGTTATACACAACTGTTCTTCAGCTATCAGACAAATATTGTCCGAGTTAATACAAAAAGCACCTTGTTGAGTAGAATAACTTGGCTGACCCCAAAGTCAGTCAGTCACACAGACTGATATTGTGCCACAGCATTTTCAACCATCCCTGCACAGCCAAGTTATATGCTAAGGAACCACAAGTGTCCACCAACACAAGGCTCTCACGACCTGCTTATCTGCCCGCCAAGTTACCTGCACCACTCACCCCTCCAGGTATCAACACAAGGTACACCTCTGGTTCCAAGAACCAGAGGTGTACCTTGTACCTTGAGCACCTCACATGGCTTGACAAGAGAAAACCTAAATCTGTGCACATTTTAAAAATATTTCAATATGACCTAGCACACTGCACCATATGACTGCACACATTCGAGCAATAATAACTTACAAGAATTTTTTCTCGCAGTTCTCTTTTGATCTCCTCAAGACCTCCAATATCCTGCCATGTAACATCTGGCACTGTCGGGAAGCCCTCTCTCTTCAGTGCAGGAGTGATGTGCTGAAAATTATATACCATTACATATGGTGAACTTCACACTCTTATTGAGAAAAATGATGTGGCAAAATAAACTTTGTTGAAAATAATATTTAGTTCACTAAAGCTCTTTCACAGTTAGTCTTGAGAAACTTCAAGCGAGTCAAATATTATCTACAATAAAGTTCCAGGGAGTAAAACCTTACCTAAAATAAAGCTCCAGGGAGTGAAATGTTACCCACAATAAAGCTCTAGGGAGTAAAACCTTAACTCACAATAAAACTCCAGCAAGTGAATCATTACCCAAAATAAAGTTTGAGTGAAACCTTACCCACAATAAAGCTCCAGGTAATGAATCCTTACCCACAATAAAACTTGCAAGTGAAACCTTACCCTGGTACTGATAACTGCAATAAAGCTATTCCCATATAGTTAAATATTTTACCTATTAAGTATTACCTAGTAGCACTGTGATTCTCAAGATAAACAAAAACAAAATTCCTTATTTTAAAGACAAAATTAAATGTCAAGTAAATGATATGATATTTATGGAAAACTAATACAGTACATTTAAAAGGCTCTAAAGAATTTTATATATAAAAAGCTGAGGTAAAAGACAAACCTCTTACCATTAAGGCTTCCAAGAAATCTTCCATGTTGATTGTAGCCATTGAATTAACTTTCTCTGTTTCACACATTTTTTCAAAATGGTTTATGAAACTTCTTACTTGCTCCATTAAGCTTCCTACTGTGTCACCATACAATAAATCTTTTTTTCTAAAAAATAAAAAATAAAATATTAACTAAATTTTTCACATGTAAAGTTCCTGCCTAAATATAAATAAATCTTTGTCAGTCATTAAGGAGAAATCTGAATGGGTCCTGACAATACATACAGCCAGGGCAGGGTGACACACTGCATCAATTCATTAGGGTCATTTTGAACACGCCCCTGTAGTCATGTTGGTATTAGGGGAACACTGGGAAGCATTCAGTCCAGCACCAAAATTCCTACTGGAAACTCAAAACCCATTCAAGCACTCCTCATGGTCAAACATGACTGCCGATTAGTGCGCTGATTACAGTGCTGGGTACTATCAAATAGCAGGGCAACGACTGGAGAGAGAATGATGCATTCCGGACTACGCAAATCGAGGCCGAAGCCAATAACAAGCTACCAGGATCTCTGACCCCCACACATTATGAAGCAGCAGCATAGGTGCCAGGGCATAAACTCCAAGCTACTAAACTAAACCAAACTCTCTCCAACTCTGAGATAAAAATAAGCAATGGAAATCTATAGGTTAGAGTAACTAAAACCTACCAAAGCATCATCGAGGTAAATAGAATGTACCAGTCTCCCACACAAATGACATGTAGACTGACTATAACCTTGCTCTATTGTTACCAACATTTTTTTTTTTTAAAGACCACATCCTAGGACAAACTTCAAGTGGGACTTTCAAGTGTAGTGGGACCTGCACGGCTGGTTGACAGCCTGGGAACCCTAGATTGGAGAACAAATGGTGTTCACATCAACAGAATTGGCTTGGAAGGTTGAGGGAGACCTAAGCTCGAGCACCCCCCTTACTAGCGAGGTTTGGCAGCAAGAAGCTCACGCTAGTTCCAAGAGATTCAATCATTTATTTGCATTATTTGGGGAGTTTGTTTAGCAGTTTTGAAGCTATAGTCACTCTGAGCCCAGCAGTGGTCTGTAATGGTTCACTGACTTTGGATATTTTCCTGGTTGGGTGGAAGAGTGTCATTCACTGTCTGTGCCTCTGTGAGGGGGTTGGGCCCTTATTCTGGCTCTAGTCCTAAGTAGAATTCCAGAATTCAGAATTCCAGAGCTAATATAATCCAATAGTTGTGAGTCATCTCGGTGAGATAAGTTTCAGGCAGTCACAAGGAGCTCCATCAGAAATTTCAACTTTACTATAAACTGAATTAAAATAAGACTGTTAATTTGTATTAAACAATCATTTACATCATCTAACAATGTACATGATGAATATATTCTTACTAAAAAAAATAATTAATTTCATAATATAAAACTCAAGGTTTTACCTTTTCCATGCCAAGCTCTGAGCCTTTTCCAACAACTTCCTCAGGTCTCCAGCTACATACCCTGGAGTTCTATGGGCTAATTCATCAAAATCACCAACAAATAATGCTTCATTACATAACAGCTGAAAGAGAAAATATAGAGTTCAGTTTAGCATGGATCAGCAACTACTAGAAGAAAATTAAATTAACATCTTAACTGTGATGTGCCTGACTGTCACCAGGTAGGAGCCTAGGTGGGTTCTGGGGTGCCCCTAGCCTAGCCTAGGGTGGTTCTGGGGTGTGAGTGGGAGTGGGCCACGCTATGCGAGCTCCGCGGAAAACAATATATATCTAGGGATATTTCAGTGATACAGGAACTAAACACAGTCAGATAACTTTTAAAGTGTGTCTCAACATATTAACCAATATATCATAGTGATTACCATCCGACCGTTTGCGTTCAAGGAAAAATAAGTGAAATTCGTGTGTAGTCAACGCCTGCCCTCGTGGTGCCAGGAGGCCTTAGGCGATAGTTGCCAAGTCGTCAATAAATCACATTTCTCGCTATTGAAACATCAAGTAATCAGTGCCCATAGTGCTAAGCTCTCTATGCAAAACCTGTGTCTATTATAACAAAAATTAAGATAACATATTTTAATATCAAGTGAACAAATTATACACAAAATAATTCCGTCGTGTGTATGTAAACAAGGGCCATTTGGAGGTAGGCCCACTCCAGTACCCTCTGTGTGTGTATTCTTTCAAATAGTGTAACGTACTCAGGTAACTAGTGCCCAGACACAGAAACTAGACGCTTTCGCTGTAAGATAACTAGTGGGAAAATGCAAGTAATGTAATCTAACAAGTGAACAAAACAAATTAAGAGTGCGACACGTGGTAGCAACACTGGCCGTCCATACAGCCTCCTCCAGGCCTATCTCAAGTTGGTCAACACCCACGGCCAGCACCCACGGTCAACCCCCCACCGGTCAACACCCCAACTTGTAAGACCTGGTAAGACCATCACCACTGAACAGAAGTGTTCAAAAAATGGCTTTGATTAAAACGTGCATAGAATGCAACATGAAGGTAGATTACCAACAGAGCTTTCAGTGCCAACTCTGTTCAGCAGCCATACACAAAAAATGTGCCAACATGACTAACAATTCAAGGAGAAATGGTCCCAGTGACCACTCTGTGTACTGGCTCTGCAAAAAGGATGATGTAACTTTTTTGAAGTTGATGGAAATCCTGGATAAAACTCCCGCTAAACAGAGAATTACTAATTAATGCCTGCATAGCAATTTCTAATGTCTTCAAACAAACTGTACATGACACCAAGTGTTACGGACCCGAGTCCAGCGTCGGAGCACGGAGCAGTGACGACAACGCCATCTAGTGATGACAGGATAGGCCAGCAATAAGTGTTGGATTCCTGTCCTAGTCAGCTCATGACGTAGCCGCTGCTGACCTCTGGTGAGGTGGCGCTTAGACAGTGAACGCCATCTATGGAGTGAAGAGGTGGACATTTCTGTCTAAGCTTGTGAGTGAAGCGTCCCAGTATTAATGACGTGTCTGATTACAGAGTCGACCTGGGACTGCTGTGTTGGACGATGGATCATTCTACCCAAGGCAGCCAAGGTCTCCTCACCAGTCTGCTTTGAAAAAGCTGTGAGCCATCCCTGGACGAACTCTGTTGAGAGTAATAGCCTGCCTGAGGAGTGGCAGTGTTGGGAATTGCCTTATCAGGGGTTGCCTGGTGGAGGAGACCACCCACTGGGGTGCTGTATGAGGAGAGTGACCAGCGAGTCACACAAGGCTCCTGGCTAGGGTACGCAACCCTAACCCTAGGGCACGCAACCCTGTGTAGGTCGTGGAGTGGCCTACACAGCGGAGCTGATCGGTACCTGCCAGCTACAGGCTGGATTGTGGTTGAAGGCCTCCACGACGAAGCACCCAGTGGGACTGTGGCCAGTACTCTGAGTACTCTGTGTACTCTGAGAGAGAACTCTATCAACATCAGAGGCCCGAGACTGTTCAACACACTTCCACTACACATAAGGGGCATAACTGGCCAACCCCTCACAGTGTTCAAGAGAGAACTGGATAAGCACCTCCAAAGGATACCTGATCAACCAGGCTGTGACTCATACGTCAGGCTGCGAGCAGCCGTGTCTAACAGCCTGGTTGATCAGTCCAGCAACCAGGAGGCCTGGTCGACGACTGGGCCGCGGGGACGCTGAGCCCCGGAAGCACCTCAAGGTAGGTCACCAGCAGTGCCAGCTAAGAGCCTAGGTCACCAGCAGTGCCAGCTAGGAGCCTCGGTCACCAGCAGTGCCAGCTAGGAGCCTCGGTCACCAGCAGTGCCAGCTAGGAGCCTAGGTCACCAGCAGTGCCAGCTAGCCTACCCTGTATTCACCCACCCAGTGACATTACAAGAAGCATGGAACCTCTGCTTCATGCTTTCAATTACATGAGGTTGGCTATCACTGGAACATTAGTACTGTACTGCAAGGGCCCATTGGTTTGTTATCATTTCCTTTCACTGTCACAATTGTGTTTCATGTTACTCACATTATGTGTCCTAGCTTTGTATTTTACTATATTTCACTGCACACACTACACATGCATCTGATGCATATTACACAGTTACTACTGGTAACATGAATGAAGAATTAAGCCAAGGAACAAATGAAAAACAAAAGTATTATACAAAATTATCAGACTGAATATTATGAGGACTTTAATAGAAATGAACTAAACAGACTATGTTGAATGCCAGTATCTAGTAGTACAAATCATGCAAAATTATGATCACCTAGACATCCTTATCTGAAAGATAAAAGGGCTGAGTATTTCAAAAATAAAATCTGAATCTTTGAACCATAAAGCACTATCCATCATATCCATGATCCTTGCATAATACTGTAGTTAAAATGAAAAATAATGAAGATTACAGACCTGGAGTATTTGTGCACGGGCAATCTCTGTTGGTATAGCCATGAACATTTCTCCATCAAAGCTGCTACGAAGATCCCAGTCTAAATTTTCTGGGCGACTGGTTTCTCCAATGACTATAACCTGTTTGTCTTTGTGCTTACTTTTTAAATCTGAAATGCAAACACAACTCTTTATTAATCAACAAATGGTTAAGTTTTGTCAGTATTGTACATCAAACATGCCAACCAGACCAAAATTGTTTACAGATGCAAACACTAAGCTCTGCAGATGATGAATCACAATAACATCTGAAAATGAAGAAATGACAACTTTTCTATAATTTCAGATGTGTGGGTTTTAAAACCACTATCTGCTTTCTTCACAAAACGGTTTAAAATTTAGAACACCGAGAACAATATTTGTGGCTCAGATTTGCTATGAATGACAATAACCAATCATACCTTGTAGCAGTCATTACACATCTGGCTATATAGCCTGAAAATTTTAACTGCCATTTATATACAGTAGTTTGGAATCCACAAGGAGCGACTAGCCAAAAATGGTTGACAGAAAGGATATTTTAATCTGATATTCTGTCGTAATTACCTATGTGTAGTTACAGGATGAGAGCCAAGCTCACGGCGTCCCGTCTTCCCAGTACTCTGTTGTATAGCGCTTTGAAATTACTGACAGCTTTGGCCTCCACCACCCTCTCACTACTTGTTCCAACCATCTACCACTTTGTTTGCAAAACTGAAGTTTCTGATGTTTTTTTGGCAGCTTTGTTTCCATCGTTTGAATCTACGTCCTCTTGTTCTTGAAGTTGCAGTTTTCAAAAATTATTTGTTCAATTTTATCGATTCCCAATACTATTTTTTCAAAGTGATCTCATGCGTATGTGTGTGTAAAAAATTCCCGTCCAGTAAAATAGAAAAAAGTATGCTATCAGGACACTGTAATGTGTATAAACACTAGCCAGCAAGTTTGAATACTGGACAGTACTTTTTTGTATTTTATTTAGAAAATAATATGATTAATGAATAATTTTACCAAAATTTTTTCACATTTAGAATACGGTATTATGCCCTACAATCATACATACCAAATATTTGTTATGGCCATTATATTTATTATTTTATTTATTCTGTAAGGTTTCCCTGGTGGTTTCTAGCATGTTAAGATATTTGTTTAGTAACACTGCAAGTTTATATACATGCATTACTATTTATCTATATCTTTTTGACACCCTGTTCCCTCTTGCAACATTCTTTCCTTAAGGGGATTGTTGAGTCAAGAATATTGAAGATACCACATTCCTTCAAATGATAAGTACTCTGGAAAGAGCAGGAAAACATTGGTCCAAGAATTACAAGTGCTTGCAATGAGAAGGAAGGAAGATCACAAGACCTGCTCTCAGCCAGCACACTCAGGTGAGGAAATAGAAACAAACGAAAACATTTTGAAAGACACAAATACAGTATATGAAAAGAACAGCAAAGAATGTGAACAACAAACAGCAAAAACTGGTAATCTATTGTTAGAGCCAAGCACAGTGAATCCAAAAAATGTACAAAAACTAATTTTAATATTCAACCACACAATTATCCTTAAGGAAATATTTTCCTAGCTGTTATGGGTTTGACAAGTGAAAAGTAAATACAGGACAAAGAATAAAAATATTTGCAAAATAAAAGCTAACTGTAAAAAATATCTGCACAACTGTCAAAGTCAAACTTACTGGTTAAGCAGGAGGCAAGCTGAGTCCCAATTCTCTTTTCCAAGCTCTTCGTGTTTCCTTCTCTTGGTGCAACAACATCTATTTTCTCAATAAGAAGTACACAAGGGGAAAGAGAGGCTGCCTGTTCAAATATTTCATTAATCCTCTCCTCACTCTCTCCAGAAACCCCTCCCACTAACTCTGTTGCTGTGACCCGAAGAATGGCCGATTCTGTTGTCTGAAAAATATTGCAAGAGTATAGTATTTTACATCATTTCCTGTAGTATCTGGCTTACTTTAACTACATTAATATTAAAGTGATAAAACCCTCTAACAAACTGCATGATGGGAGTGAACTATGTAGCCGAGATACTCAAAGTAATTTTTTTTTTTAAGATTTGTTCAAATATTAGTGTGACTCCTGTTTACCTAAATTAACATGGGTCATTTCCCTCATAGTAACCATGATATAACACACAACATTAGTTACATTAATTAAATTTATTCCACAAGTGTTTCTGTATACAAGTGTAAATTTTAAGGGGAGGTTCCCCAAAAATGTCATTTACTAAGTAGAAATACTGTACCTAAAGTGGGACAAAATTATGGCTTAAAGTCAATATGAAAAAATCTTTCTGCACAAGTATCTTTGTTACTCCTGAAGGTAAGCAAGTATCTGCTGTTCCATAGAACAGATTCATGTAGACATACAGGATGGCATTCTAGACATGCATGCATGCAACATGCATTCTAAGTGCATGCAGGCACATGCACATAATTATCTGTATAATTACTGAAGTGTAGTTACAGGACATCAAATGATGCCTTCAAGCAAGGTGGTTTTGACATCTACCCCTTTCTTACTTAAATTGTTCCACCATCTACAACTCTTGTGAATGAGTGAGTGTTCATGCGTGGCTACGAATGAATGCGTGTATTCACCTAGTTGTGCTTGCGGGTCTTGAGCTCTGTTCTTTCGGCCTGTCTCTCAACTGTCAATCAACTGTTACTAACTACTGTACTACTGATTTTTTTCCCCCCCCACACACACACACACCCCCAGGAAGCAGCCCATAACAGCTGTCTAACTCCCAGGTACCTATTTACTGCTAGGTAACAGGGACATCAGGGTGAAAGAAACTCGCCCCAATTTGTTTCTAACCGGCGCTGTGAATCAAACCCGGGTCCACAGGATTACGTGTGCAGCATGCTGTCCATTTAGCCACCAGCACCCTAATTCACCCTAGCCCTAAGTGTGTGTGTACAAATTTAACATTATGACATAGAGGACACTGTTTAATAGCCCACAAACAACAATTCCCAATGCACATCGAGACACAGACATCAACATGTTAATACTCACCCCAGCCAGAGCCTGAGCAAAGGTTGTTTTACCACTGCCAGATGGTCCTGTTATTAGAACTGACTTCTGAAGAGGTTGCAGAATACCTGGCCACTTAAGATTGCCAATAAGGTCACAAATTTGCTGTTAGGGAAAATAGAAAATGCTATTATAGTTTGTTTTATAGTGATTCTATTACCTGTATCATAATTTGTATCTACCCTAAAAGTATAAAGCAATGTACGATATACTACGCACATTGGTAACTAGCCACAACACTGCTACCATTATCAGAATCCTGGCCACCAAATACTAAATATGAGCAATTTTCCACAAATTCATTTTCTAAAGGAACATAAGGTCTTGTTTCACGATGAATAGATGCACCAAACTGTGGCTGTGCTGTGGATGTCTATCTCATCCCACGAACATCGTAACCAGCACTAGGTTCACCGATATCTGAACCTTGCACACAGCCTTCATCACATCACGATCTTTAATGGCACTATCTACATTAAATAATTGTAGTTATTTATTTCAGCATTGCTAGCAGTGCTGAGAGCTGCTGCTGCTGCACTACTCATACTTGCTCTACACTCAAGATATTATATGAATACCTCGATGATGACAAAAATAATCATGACTAGACCACGAGGCATCAATACTGTCAATACCAAATTAATAAAACAAAATAAACTATTAAAAGTGCTGACAGAACAAATCTATTCAGAAAATGCACAAATGAAAGGAAACAATAGGATAGAATAGGAAAGATAATAATCAGGAAAAAACTCTAAGCCAGTATGACTATATAGCACAGAGTGATACTGGCTAAGCACTTCCTCCTGACAATTACTTTTGCTTTACCATGTTCTTAAAACAATAATAAGAGAAACTTACATCCTTCAGAGATTCTATTCCTGCCATATTGGCAAATGTTATGGTAGGTTGTTCTGGAAGCAATTGCTTTTTCTTTTTCCTCTTGATTATTTCTTCTATGTCACCTTCTTTATCTTTTTTTCGTTTCTTCTTAATACTTTTCTGTTAATTTTTAAACAAAATGTTAGTAAAAATTACTGGTTCCGTATGATGCATAATATTTAGGAATAATATACAGTATCATTCACACTGACTTCATATGCTTTACTTAGTGACTATCAATTTCCTCAGTCGCTGAAAATAACTGCCAATTTTTAGACCAGAACAGCACATGGATTCTCAAATACTACACTCAACCATTTGGTATAAATGTTAACGGCAGCAATTGGACATGTTGCCCAAAAATTACTCACAGTATTACTGACAATTCAATAAACTGACAATTCAATGGACAGTATTTACGATGGTTCACAATTGCCAACCATCGTAAATAATAAAAGGAGAATAGTCCAATTCCATTCATTATGGAAATTAATATATTCCTACTGCTAGAAGCCCATGAACTGAACTGATGTAACACTTAAGAACACACACAAAAAAATTACTCACTAACCTCAGGAGACATGGTTCCAAGATCACCATTAGTGTCCAACACAAAGAAATCTTGACTTGCCCTTGCCCTAAAAAAAATTGCCAAAAGTGAAATGTAAGTGAAGGAGGATTTCTACACAAACAATGATTCATATGTAATTTATTTTACTGCCATGACATCATTTCAAAGACACATGAATTAATTAATGAATCAAAGATCAAGTAGAGATAAATAAACAAAAGTGTTACTGATAATCTTCTGCAATAAATTTGTAACAAGTTGTGTACAAAGAAGCACACCATGAACAACAACAAATGGTGCATGTCATTGGGGTTGAACCTGATAAGTTGAGAAACTGATAATTATATGAGAAAATTAGTTTCTAATATTTATTTTATGCCAAATGTTAACCTAAGAAAAATTGTATGTCATTACAGAAAATTTCCTCTTTTTAATATGGGCTTTTTTAATGAAGAGAAATATGATACAGTACAAAATGATATTGTATTCTAGCACCCCCGATTCCTGTGATAACTTATGAAAAATATATGCTAAGGGTATAGAATTCACCCAATGGCTTTTCATATTAATAATGGAACCAAGTGCAACTAAAAAAATTAAAAATGCTTTAATCGCTTGTAAAAATGTTAATAATATTAGTGGTCTCTTTGATGACAAGGTGCACCTGGAAAGGCTTTACAGTTTATGCAATGAACATTTCTGTGCACAATATGGGCTGGATTGAGTATTCCCACATTTCCATTGCACCACTATAGTCGATTGGAACAGTTTTTAAAGTTTGCTGATGTGCTGATGTTGAACATCTACCTGCCTGGACTACACCTGATCCAAGATATCAATAGGATTTTACCGTATGAAACAATCAAGTGTATGGCACAGAGAAGTGCTTGATATATGCACTCAAGGCTTAATTTACCTTTTATTATACAGTATATCTGAAATATTATTAGACATAGCAACATATATTTTTAATTAAAAAAAAAAGGCAAAGGCATTGAAGGTAATGAAACTCCCTTTTCTGGTTGGGTCTTGGTGGCTCACTGAGCTAGCTCAACATACGTGAGTCACATCAACCTTAGGATGTGATATGCCAATCAGAATATGCCCCCCACTATGCCAATTAGAACTCCTAAAGCTGATGTGACTCATATGTGTGGAGCTATCTACTTCAGTGAGATAGATTCAGGGAGCTACCATTTGGCCCCTTCCAAAAAATCAGTGGGAACAAAATTTTGAAAACAATGCCCATAAAGTATTAATAACGTCATGATAAATGGTGAAAACTTACGAAATTTTGTGTTTTGAAGCAGGTGATGAAACTGCTGGCGACTTGTACATCTTTGTCAGCATGGTGTTCAAACCATTAGCCTGAAATAGGAAATTAATAATTATTGAATTACTAATGAGAGAGCTTTATATGCTTTTTTTTATCAATTCTTTTACATCTTCACCTCTTTCATTTCAGCAAGTTATTGTATCTCCTTGGAATTCTACTCTGCACACCAGTTCTTATATATTCCCTACCAGAACTTATCTGCCCCACAACATTCATAAACCTATACCCAATACTTACTGTTATCTCTCTCACACCCATACAAGTACATACATTCCTTAACCCTTAACTCCCTGCACTGCACAAGCTTTTCAGCGGCCATTTCCTGTGTGCACAAGAATGCAATGTGCATTGCAAACCATTCCTCTAGGAGTGACCCTGTCTGGAGTTTGCTTGGCCAATGATCAAGATATGTGATCATTGATCAAGAAATTTGCATCTCCATCGCTTCACTACACTGAAAGTAATTGACTTACAATTTTCAAGTAATTGCTTGATGATACACATTAAACAATACAATATAGGAATAAAAAATAATTTTTTCCTTGTGCACACAGGGAATGCCACACAGAGTTCATGAGTTAAAAAGCAGACTCAATAAGTTAATTTGATTAAAAATCAATTCTGAACACAATTACTTTATATCATACAAAATAGATAAAATATATTTATATTTAGGTAATAATGATTCAGACTGTGAAAAGCAAGACTGAAAAAGTAGATAATCAGCAACCGTATTTGCAATTTAAACGAGTTTCATAACTGACCTTAGCTGGGGGTTCAGGATCAATGATTTCCATGATATCTGGCCCTCCTCCATCACTATCCATTATATCTTCAATATCACTTGTGTCTTCAGTCTGCTGACAACAGTACAGCTGCCACTCATAGGCTACAGAAAATGGATCAATGAATCACAAACGACATGTTGAGAAAATAAATTTGTATTTATTATTAAGAGAGAGTCCCTAAATCCCATTGGATGACTGGGATCTTTATAAACTGAAGTATTTTGAGCCACAAATTATGTCATGATTATGTCTCGTAATAATAAACAAATTATGAACTTGCAGTAAAAATTACAACTAAACACTTATGTTGTACAATTTAACTGAAATAAAATATTTTTGTTGTTATAAATCAACATTTTTCCAATTTCTTAACTTGGAACTCCGAGATTTGTTTAAACAGGTAAATTTAAAGATAAATATACATTTTGGGATATGAAATTCTTATAAGTTCAGTAATATAGAAATTTCATATGTTGAATGAAATAATGAATCGGAAAATTGTCTGCAATATTAAATTCTACTGAAATGCATGCAAATAAGATATTATGAATTAGAAAAATAGCTTTAAAACCTTCCTAACACTGCAGTTTCTCTAAAGGATATGAGTTTTTGCAGAGAATATATACAGTATACAATACAAATACACAAAAAATAAATACCAGTAGCAGCATTTACCTTTCTCAACACTCTTCATGAAGGCCTTTTTATTTTTGCCTCGAAACTCCCGATAAGTGTTGACCAGGTAGTCTGTCATCTCCTCCACATCAATATATTTATTTTCATTCATATACTGCAAAAGATGTTCATAATACTATTTTAGTCTGAATCTTATATTTGGCAAATTCTGATTTTTACATGGAAAAACATTGAAATGCAGGCATAAATAATAATTTTTTTTAATTTTTGTTGTTAAAATTTTCCTTTTTAATTGCAAATTTTCAAACTTTCTTGTTCACAAAATGCACAAATGGTGACTAACAAGAGAAATGCTGGGGAGGCTCTCACTGATGTTGAAGTCTGCCAGTTTACCACTGTCATGCCTGATAATACGGCAGACAAACTAACAGGAGTACTGCATCAAGTTTGAGAAACAAGACAAACTTAAAATAAAAAGCCTTTTTCTAGGCAGAATCATTTACTTACTTTAAGATCCCATGCAAGGGTGAAGTTTTCATTAACTATATATAAATATGTTAAGCTAAGCTGTATGTGCCCTGCCAGTTCAATTTTGAAGATATACATTCTTACATTCTTGTAAAGTCACTATGCATGCACAGCATTTTGGGCAAGTCCTTAATCTTAATTTTCCACAGAATACGACCCGCCAAATCATTTAACCAGGTACCCATTCACTGCTGGGTGAACAGAGGCATACAGTTAAGGATTAGTGCCTAGTCACTCCTCCCCGGCCAGGATACTAACTCAGAGCAAATCTCTCGTGAAGCGCGGGGCGAGTGTCTTACGACTGCACCACTGGGACTGCTGCTCCCATATAATCGAAGTGTGTATCCCTTAGTGGAGGAGTATGGCAATGTGATTTCCATTACGTTATGTTAGAACAGGTCAGAGTCTGTTAGGCTAGGTCAGGTTTGGTTTGTTTAAAGAGTAGTGATAACAGAATGACTACTCTGGATTAATTTAACCCTACCACAGTTACACTATTTTAAAATTGTTACTTGTAAGTGTATTATAAGGCTAATTTCTGGTGTTCCACATTCTACACACCTTCTCGACCCTGGCCGGCAGGGTCCTCTCTTGAAAATATGGTCGCTTCATGGTGCTGGAAATTGTTGCATTCAATTCCGTGACTGGGAATCCCGGCCCAGGAGCGTTCCTCGGTCTCTGATAAATAGTTTCTGGTCTTGTGACTGTGATTCTAGAGCTTCACCGGCCTAGAGTATAAGGAGAGAGGAGCAAATAAGAACTGTTGGAGGTGCGGGACCGCTGGCCACACATCACATCCCTGGAGGGGACTGGTCAAGTCGTATACTGCAATTTCGTATACCGGGCTAGAAACAACTTCGTTCACTTTGAAGTTTGTACATACAAACCATTCCGTTCGTATATGCGCTGGTTTGTGTTCGCTGTTGTTCTCGTCTGAATAAATACATGGCACTTGTTCATATAATTAGCGCTTCCATTATTAGAATTATTTATCCATTATTAGAATAACAAGGTGCAAACCATATCCCCTTACAGTTGAAATCTATTTATTTATATACAAGAAGGTACATTGGGTTGCGAGAGTACATAACATTTATTAAGAGGTACATTGTAGCAAGATTAACATGGGCGACCCTTTTGGAAACGCATGGAAATGCAACACTTGGGTTGGTCTCGCACGCCCATGTGATCCGGAGTTGGAGCGTGCGTCGGTCCCGCACGCTCATCCTCATCTTAGTAGTTGCCAGACGCGGCAGGATAGACGTCCATTAGGTAGCTTCTCCCGAGGCCGTGATTGGTCGGCCCGCCCGAGGAGCCGCGCCCTGATTGGTCGAGGGCGGTGTTTTGGAGGGTGAGGGCAGAGTTTAAACCAGGAGAGGCGGCCAGCGAGGCTGTTTTAGTCTGCTTGGGCGTGTTTGAAGGCGGGTATTATTGGAGGTTATGGCGGGCGTGCAGGTGGTGGGCGTGTGAGGGGAGAGGGAGAGCAGCGCGCCATAATACAGCCCCACACACCAGGGCTGTGGCATACTTCACTCCCACACTTGGAGACATCACACTCGAGAGCATCACCTTTGTGGCCAGTTCTTCAGTAAGGCTAAATACCTTTATTCTTATTAGTTGGTCTCGGGAAGCTTACGTAGTTGTACATGTTATTAATACTACTAGATAGTAAGGTACTTTATAATTTGTAAGTTTAGTGAGCCGTTCTTGTGTAAGGGCTATAACTCGCTATTATGGGGTGTAAGTATGGGGGTGTAATTATACATGACCAGGTCATACAGCGGTGTTTCCACAAAGTTTGTATAATAACCATTATTTATATATACAACAAGCTATGTTACATTATATTATATGATACATTACATATGATACATTATATTATGATACATTACATATGATACATTATATTATATGATACATTATATTATGATACATTACCCTATGATACAGGGTAGCATGATAAAGCAGGAAAGACTCTCCAGTTTATACTCAAATCAAATCAAATGTTTATTTAGGTAAGGTACATACATACAAGAGATTTTTCAAAGAGTGATGGATTTATATATAGGGCTAGTACATACAATGCCTAAAGCCACTATTACGCAAAGCGTTTCGGGCATGAAAAACTTAAATGACTAAAGTTTAATACTAATTGAGCATAAAGAGTAAAATGAAAACATGGACTGTATTGTGATGCTGTATTGTGTATTCTGTATTGAAAGCTGTATTGTGATTACTGTACCTACCTGTTGACTATTGATGATGCTGAGGATCAACGTCCCTATGACCCCGTTTCTGACCAGGCCTCCTGGTTGCTTGTGTAATCAGCCAGAGTGATGTGGCTGCTCACACCATGACCTGATAGTCACCGCCTGGTGATCAAAGAGAGATCTTTCATAAGAAAGCAGTATACCTTGCTAGTAATTACCCGGGTGTAGTTACAGGATGAGAGCTATGCTCGTGGTGTCCTGTCGTCCCAGCAGTATTATGTAACACATTGAAACTACTGTACTGTACTGACAGTTTTGGCTTCCACCACAACCTCACTGTCGAAATCCTTTTCTAGGTCCAGATACACGCAGTCCTGTGTATATGCATGGAAGCTTATGATAGGCTTAAAACATAGGTTTAAAACAAAGATAGGCTTTGGTGTGCAGTTTATCATTTAAACAAATGTCAAAATACTGTAGATAAATACCATAAGGATACACGACATGTATTTATAACCGTTTACAACACAAGAAATGCAGCTTATCATAGATTGTCAGCAGATACTGTATGTAATTGACACTAGCCTAACTTGATTAGTAAATATAATGCATAGAGCATTTTATAGAAGACTTGGTCTTTATTTACCATTGGTGATTAGCCATACTGTATATCAGAACTATTTTGTTTCGTTAGTGTGTAGTGTGTTCTTGTTACTTATACTAATACAAGTTATTCTTGTATTAGTCTCTCTTTCTTGCATCTGATGTATGTGTGTTTTGTATTTCTTAATTTTTAAATTATAATTTCAGAAATTGATGCAGTCACTGTAAAGAAATCATGTCTGACAATATCCTTGTGGCTGTTCGGTTGCGGCCATTGATCTCACGGGAGGAAACAGCCTCGGCTGCACTTCACTGGCAGATTGGTCCAGAGAACACACTATCCCAAATTGATCCATCTTCTAAGAAACTCCTGTCTGCTCCTTACAAATTTGGTGAGTACACTGTTACGGTATAAAAATATACTGTACAATACCTGGTCTGATCAGCCAGTAAAAAAATATACCAGTACAGTACTGTACCAGAATACTTAGTACTTATTGTACCTGTATTGTGTATAACATTTTATTACTTTTATTTTAACAATTGTTGGAAATAAATTAAAGCAGTCAGTCCTGGACTCGCCCACATTTTGTCTTTCCTAGAATTTGGTCGATGAGACTTGCAGCAGAACTGGGACCATGCTGTTGAATGGCCCTCGTCTCCTTTGAGGACGGGTCTGTTTTATCATCTTGACTGTATGAGGAAGGTTGCACCTGTTTTTTTAGGTCTTTCTTGAGGGTTGATCCCTTGAGGCTGTCAGCTGTGCTATGCTTGCTCCTGCTTTTTATTGCAAGGTTGGGATGTATTAGCTCCATGTCGTCCAGGAGACTTTCAACAAAATTGCAATGGACTACAAGGCTCACATTTGCTTGGCTGTAGTTCTTTGTTTGTCTGGTGCACAAGATCATCTTTTGAGCATTTACAAGGTAATCTTGGATTCATACCTCTAAATTCCTATTCCCCTTTGCCTAGTTGTCTGCTGTTACTTCTGCAGGTACCATTCTCAAACTGTTTGCTCTACTCTTGTGGGATGCTGTGACAGATGTCTAACAGCTTGCCATACCTGTTGGTTTTTCCATTTTGAAATCTCTAAGAGTCTACTGGTCATTCTTCCTCCTGTTTGCTTCCCATTGCTTTCTCAAAGGTTTCACTGGTTTTAGCAGCAGTAGCTTATGGCCAGTCCAGCAGCCGTGTTCTAATTTCTGTATTTTAGGTGCACGTCGTTTGGCTTGTTCAACAGCTCTGATGCAAGGGTGCACTCTGCGTTTGCCTTGGTTTGGCAGTCAGCGAGGTTCGTCTCCCCAGCCTTTTCATGTTACAAACACCCTGGCAATGACATAAGAGAAGGGAAGAAGTCTGAGCATTTTTTTTTTTTTTTTTTTTTGCATGTTAGATTCTGAGGAACTTTTTTAGTAGGACAGGTATGTGGAATCTCGGGGTCTGATGGGTTTGTACCCCCTCCCTTCTCCCCTTCCCTCTGGTGTCTCGAGAACCTCTTCATCTCTCTACTCCTCTACTCTACAACATCACTTATGATTTGGAGCAGGAAGTGCTCGCGTCCTTACTGAACTTCTTTCTCATCCCCCAAGCAAGATACTATCAAGCCTCAGTTTATTCTCGGTCTATGTTCTAAACAGGTACATTCCTTGTCCCACATTTTGGATGACTGCTGTAGCTCAGGTTTGCCAGGCAGTTTTGAGTGGCTCTTGGTTCATTTCTCTGGATCTCAAGATACCTATCGAAACGTCTCCAGCCACCCATAATTCGGGGATTGGCTGGGGTTCAGAGTATGGCTCTTCTTGTACTAATTTCAGGCTTTGGTGTTTGGTCTGCATGTGGCTCCCAGGATAGTCTTCTGGGGGTCTGAATTTTGGCATACCTCAATGACTGGCTGGAGTAGGCCCCCAGTTGTTTTGACTTGTACTATATCTCATTTCTTTCAGGGTGATCCTTCAATGTTACTACAGTACATTCGAAAGTTCATGCTTTTTAGCATCATTATCAACATTTGCCCTATAGTAGTGCTCTTTGAGGTATATATGTTCAATATGATCAGTTTTGCCCTCTACTTTACAGATCGTGTGTATGGAGTAGAATATGATAATGAAGATGTGTATATTGAAGTAGCAGAACCAATCGTGGAGAGCGCTTTAGCCGGATTTAATGGAACCATATTTGCTTATGGTCAAACTTCATCTGGTAAGTGAAGTGTTGAATTTGATATCTTAAATTTCTCTTCCTGTCACCTTCAGTCAAAATATTTTATTGGACAGTATTGTGCATAATTATCAGTGACTAAATGGGGTGAAAATAGCTTGAGCTACCTCATCCCTTTGTGTGTATTTATATCTCAATAAACTTCAGTTTCAATCAGTGACTATGGGGGAAGTGAGCAAGCCAGCTCTTTATGCCCCACATAATAGCCTTGTTGTGTTGTAATTTAACTATTCTGAACTTCAAAATCTTTGAACCTGCCTTAAGGTTGTGGATGGAGGTGGCTTCCACAAGTTGTCCACTTGATTTCATTCCACTTGATCACCGGGACAGGGTGATCAAATGCATTTAAATGCATTTGTTTTCTTGTCAATAGCTCCTTTTTTCAATGTTTTTTTTAGTACTCTTCTTCGGTTTTCTGCACTGCCTATTAAACCAGGAGTTTACTTTTGCCTTTCTCATCCACTGGGTGTAGTAGCTATGTAGGTGGGACTAGAACTGGATCTTGCTCTCCAGGTAAGCAAATCTACTTCCTCCATTTCCACTAACATCATCATATGCCTGTTGCACTAACTAGTGCTCATTGTACTTCGTACTCATTATTACACTAAGTACGTTACTATTTTAGAGATGTATATGGTATGGCTTTGTTAGATTTTATTGATCAACTCACTGTATAATATGAGCATTCATTAGTGTTATTTCCCACACTCAGGCAAGACGTTCACCATGATGGGCAACAAGGATTCTCCAGGCATAATTCCCCTGGCCATCCAAAATATCTTTAGGTCCATAGAGAATACTCCAGATCGTGAATATCTAATAAGGTTAGTACCCGTCTGTGAATGTTTATTGTTAATTGGCATTATGGTTACTATACAGTACAGTACTGTAGTTTTTAATTCTTAAAAAGGCAGGTAAAATAAAAAAAATATAGGTAATAATTGTTACTTCAATGTTACTGTTTCTCAGGGTTCTCTGCCAATATAAAATACTATAATTCATTTTTATTTATATTACATTCATATACAGCCACTAGCATGCATAACGTTTTGGGCACGTCCTTAATCCTAATTTTCCCTGGAATACAACCCACCAAATGGTTTAACAACCAGGTTCCCATTCACTACTGGGTGAACAGAGGCTACAATTAAGGATTGCCACCCAGTCAATTCTCCTCGGCCAGGATACGAACCTAGGATTTTGGTGTCTTCAAGATATAATGTTTATCTTTTATTTATTTATAAAGTGTATATAGTAATATTATGTCTGATTGCATTAAAAGTGGTTCAGAAATCTACATCTGTTAATTTTCTATTTGGGTCTTTAAAATAATTTGGCAAAGATCTCATAAAATTCTCATTCCAATTAACAACTTAACATTTTTCAGAGTTTCCTACATGGAAATCTACAATGAAAATATAACAGATCTTCTTGCAAGCAGAGATCAAAGACTAAAGTCCCTTGCTGTAAGAGAAGATGTGTCGGGGGCTGTTTTTGTTGCAGACCTGAAGGAAGAGTGTGTTAACTCTGAAGAAAAGGCAAGTCAAAATAAACTTGTTTTCTTGTAAGTTATTTACTAATGCAATTATCCTGTTCCTCACAAGAATTTATACTGTATAGGCAGCCTTGGTTCTCTAGTCATGACTCGGAAGATATACTTGAGGGTGATTAGTTACAGCCTTTAACTTTTGAAACCGTCATCAACCGAATGCAATCCGTCACTAACATAGTCTGATATGCTGACTTAGCATCAGGTGTTGAGAAATGCTTAGCAGTGCTGAAGCCGTCCAGGATTTCTTGGATCAACTGTTGTCACTTTACTAACCTTGTTATAATTAATGCAAAACCTATTAGTGTCATGAGGTTTCTGTTCTGACAATATTGGTAAATGCTTTCACAGTGGCAGTTTTAGGTGCTAACCTCAGCTTGCAGGTGGCACTGTCAGTGTGTGTGTGCGAACTCCTAGTTGAGATTGGGGTTCTGTGGTACTGGTGTTCCAGGTTCTTGTGTTTCTTAAGGCTTTCTATCGATCGTGGTGTTTAATATCTTAGACCCGGTCTTCTGCAACTTGCATGGGGGAATAGATGGCAGATCTTGTCACATTTGCAGCTTTGTGGTGACAATATGAGGTTTTGATGGCCTTTCCACCTCTTTCACTCTGGAGCATTTCTGCTATGTTTATCCCAAGTCTTTCCTGTTCTTTTTGGATTCCCAGTTATTGCCCGTTAGTTACTTCATCTTGTTCAATTTTGGTGAAGCCTCTCCTGTTGACTTTTGGTGTGTTGCTGTCTCTTGTATTCTTTCACTTCTGGCCAGCTCATTTTCTTCCAAACCCTTCTTGGTGTTTAAGTCATTGGTTGGCCTTCTTTAGCCTTCCCACATTTTTTGTTCTTACCAAGGTTAATATAGCAGTTATTAGTGTGGTAGTGGTAGAGAATCTTAGGTTGCTGATAGAGGAGTATAGCCTTGATGCTAGTGCAGTTTGAAGAAGAAAAAAAAGGATTATATAGTTTGTGAGTAAAGTAGAGCAGTGGTGGAAACTGAAGGCATAAAAACATTGAAACATTCTAAGCATGAGTATTATAATAATGCTGTTTATTCATGACCGGTGCAGCATTGTAGTTTTGGGCTGGCTGTTGGTGGTGCGTTCAATCAGTAGCTGAAAGAAAATTACCAAAAGTATTGGGAACTTTAAGACCAGTTCAGAGTGACTAGAAGTTTGACAGAACTCATGTTGTAAAACAATCATTTTATTTTTCTGCCTTTTATAATAAAGACCAACCTGTGCAACAAATAGGTAAGTGGAAATAATTAATGTTTAATATGTTTTTGAGCAGAATTTTTATACAAACACAAATAGTTTCTTATATTTGTATGAAAATGCCAGCACTTATATTAAAGCTTTTGCTGTAAGATAGTCGGAAAAGTTAATGATGGCCAAATAAAAAGGGTAATTACTCAGTATTTGGAAATCTGAAACGATATGAACCGATATTTTGGAGGCTGCCATATGTTTTTCTGAAAAACACATACACCTCCCCCCCTCACACACACGCATTCCTTTCATGGCATATCCATGGAAAACCTATTTGAAGGTAGAATTTTGGGAAATGAAGACTGGCATCAATGCAGATGCCTGCCTCAGTGCCCCACAAACATGGCAAGGGCAAAAAACTTCTCAAGAAAACAGGTTGTCAACTTCCAGGTGCACTGTCGTAACCCTAGAGGCCGCATAGTAGCCAAAGACACTGCACGATACTGGACAGTACTGTTTAATATTGTATTAGGAAAAAGGCTTCAGTAGTTTTTAATAGTTTCACTGCTGCAATAGAAACTGTGAACAGTTGTTTAAATTAATGTTAAAAAAATGAAACCATGACTTCATTTAAAGTCTGTTTGTAATGTGTTGCTGCAATATGATAAAATTCTTGTAAAAATAATAAACAGGTCTATTGTTTGATTAAGAAATCACAGAATTGTTAATATAGGAGCCGTCCTTCTTTATTTTGTACTTTGTCATTTTTGCACTTCGGTAACTAATTCTTTTCATGCGACAGTTATTGGCCCTCATGCGTAAAGGAGACAAGAACCGTCACGTAGGAATGACAAACATGAATGAACGCAGTTCTAGATCCCACTCCATTTTTCGACTGGTAAGTAAATTTTTAATTTACTTAATTTTTTATATACTTTTTTATACAACTACTGTGTATACACAGTAGGTTTTCATGCCATGTACAGTTACTTCAATCTTTAGTTAGTAGCTACGTCAAAAATGGTATTTACCCGTGTAGTGCTGTCATGCTGGGTATGGTTATTTGTTTGAATATGTAGTACTACATTATGTAAAATAATAAATGAAGGTAAGAAGGTCAAACACACAAGGTAAAAAGTGTTTGAGCTGTTAGCTTCAGCTAGATACATCAATATGTATGCTTGTATAATAATGAAAGGAGAAAAAGTTGTAAAAGTTCCTACAAAAGTACAAGTCTAAACTCATTAAACTTGGAGTTGTAGCAGTTGACTGTCAGTGGTTGAACTTTAAACAATTAACATTTCCATTATTTGTTATTACATTTTAGGGAATCTTGAGGCTATAATTTGGAAAATTAAAAATAAAAACTGAGACAGATTTCTCTGGTCAAGAATTTTTTTTTTATAACTGGAACTGTGAATTGAAGAGAAAACATGTAGTGTCTACCTGGGCAGGAGTCCTCCAACTAGGAGCAGGTTACGTTCCAAAAAAGATGCTCGTAAAGTACTTATTTGTTCAGAACGTAGGCGAGATTTCACATAGGCACAATGTTATCAATGGAAAATATATTCATGGACCCCTAAAAATCATCACAAACCAATAATTTTGTGATGTAATATAAAAAACCTTGCACATTATTTACCTTGAATGATGGTAAATAATTACCAGACCCCTGCTATGTTTTTGTTCTATGTTTGTACTATGTGCAATTATTTACCTTGATTTATTTTATTTACAGACATTCTGCTAAAAGTTTTCTAGAGCTTTGATAAACCACAATTAGTTAATTATTCCGTGACAGTGAGGGCAGAAGGAATCGAGCAAAGTAGGACAACGAGTTGCTTTACTAATTGCTAAGTGCATTCAGGCAAAAGTATTAGTGGCAAGGAGGGCTTAATTTCATTTTGTTTACTGTTCAAAATATATAATGTAAAAATGTGTGTTGTGTGTTCTTTAGTATCTGGCAACATTATAGTGAAAGGATAAGCTATTAAAACTTAGTTTAATTTTTATAACAGAAAACACTTTTAGGAGCTCTGTGATTAGTGAAATTAAAAAAATATAAATGTAATTGTTACCCTTTATGGAGTTAAATATACAAATTCTAACATATAAACTGGTTAAATTTTAGCATATACATTTTCTAGTACAGCATTAAACAGGTCTTGTCCAAAACTGTCATATGATTTTAAATCAAATTTTCTTAATATTCTCTCTCTTTTCCCAGATACTGGAGTCACGAGAGAGAGGGGAGGGGGACAGTAGTGAGACTGTTGTTACCGTTTCTCACCTTAATTTAGTGGATCTCGCAGGATCCGAGAATGCCTCTCAGTCTGGTGCAACCGGAGAAAGGCTAAAGGAAGGAGGCTTTATCAATAGATCTCTATTTATGCTGGGTCGAGTGATCTCACAGCTGAGTGAAGGAGAGTAAGTTTATATATTAGTGGTACTCTGTTAAATTTCTTTGATTATTCAATAATCTCATTCTCTCTCTCTCCTGTCTGTCTCTGTCCATCTGTCTGTCTGTCTCTCCATATTTCTGTGTGCGCGCGCATGTAGGACAAACAGAACTGCCGTATCTGATGACTAATTTGCATGGAGCAATCTTATTACATTCAATGCCTTTTTTTTTTTAATTGGCAACATGCATGACCTAATACTGTTTAATTATCTACAATAAATTTTGTTAGATTTTTTTTTCATGGTGTATATGGGCATAGCACTTATTCTTCTTATTATAGATGTGAAGTAACTGAAGAGATCCACTTCCCCTCCCGCATCCCCTCTTAATATGTTGTCTAGTGCACTTATTGCTGGTTTTGTGTTATATTATTTTACTAGAAAATACTAGACTATTTTTTACTAGAAAATGGACAATGTATTTAATTGCATGGTAGGAAAGAGCAGGTCTTTGCTACAGGAAATGTATACAAAAATTACAAGTTATATTTGATGACCAAGCCGCACATCAGTGTATGGAGGAACTACGATGTTTCGGTTTGTCCTGGACCATTATCAAGTCATATGTGACCTGTCACATTTGACGGACCAAAATGTCATTGTTTCTCCATCTTCTGATGTGTGGGTTTGGTCTTCATATCTTCAGCCACATTGTGACTCGTCGTCTGCATGCAAATTATATACATATTTTTCAGAAGATGGGAACACGGTCAAAACAGAAATGTTGCTGCTATATGGTTAAACAAATAGGCACTATAATGTCGAGTATTTAAAAAGTTCAGTGCTTCATATTTTAAAATGCTAGTATGTCTGCTATACTGTGCAAAAGGTTTTCTCAAAGTTTGGTACAATTTACTTGCAACTTGAAGCAAGCCCTTTTTAATAGAAGACTGTAAATATATGTATTAAAACACTTAATATTTTCAGACAATTTGTTAATTTTCGGGATTCCAAATTGACAAGAATTTTACAACTGTCTCTTGGTGGGAATTCCAAAACAGCCATATTCTGTACAATCACTCCGGCAGCTGTTGAGCAGACGCACTCCACGTTAAGGTAGAGTACCGTCTTTCATTGTGGCATTATCCTTATTCCTTATCTTTATACTATATCCTAAAAAGTGTGTTTGAAAGTGTAATCACTGGTTATTTGTATATAATGCACAAGAGTAACTAAATCTGAAGGTGGTTTTCCAAATTCCTTGAATATTTTTGTATATTTGGGCTGTTTTTTTGCCCAGGCCCAGAATGCTTAGGCAGGTTTCATATGGCTATATGGAATTTAGAATTAACAGAAGTACTGGAGGTAGTGGAAATTTGAAGGAAAAGGGAATGATATGCTAAGTCTCTGCTAGATAAGTAAAAAAAATGAAAAATTTATTTTTTATTGGCTAGTTAACCCTTAAAGTGCGCATCACTTCATATGAAGTGTAAATCGTTTTACCAGTCAACTGCGCTTCACTTCATATGAAGTGTATGGGTACTGCGCACGATTTGAATGGCCCGCGGTGTAGCTGGGGGTCCCATACGCTGCCCAGGGGCTCTAGTAAACAGCGGCCATTTTGAAAAAAATTCCCGCTCACGATCCGAAGGCATGGGAGGCCTCAGTTTAGCGAGAGTCACCATGGCGAGCGCACGGTCAAACGCCTCACGGGCACGCACCACTCAGTCCCTCACCCCAGAGCAAATAGCCCACGAATTATTCTCTGAAGGTGAAGAAAGTGTGTTTGACGATTCAGACAACGATGAGGATTATACACAGTTGTCGGGTGATAGTAGCAGCAGCAGTGAAAGTGAGAATGACCGCCATGCCATGGCGAGGCCTATACGCTCTCCCATGCCTCCTCGCCCATTTTCTACCCCAATTCTACCACGACCTCACAGTTCCTGTGGATATTTTCTGTTTGAGGGTGACGAGTCAGAGGGAGGTGACTCCTTTTCTGGGTTTAGTGACTCAGATCAAAGTTTTATTGAGCCTGTGGCTGGTACCAGTGGTGTAACTGGGCGAGAAATTGTCGCGTCAGCAGCATCTCGCCCGGCCAATCGCCACCGCATGGCACCACATGAGGGACCAAGACCCTCGTGTTCACGTGCACCCACCTCACGTGCACGTAGCCGCCGTGCTTCTCGCAGACGGTATTCAGCTCCTGGTCGCCGGTATGCATCGCTTCCTCGCCGTCTTTCCTCTGCATCTTGCAGGACGCCTGGTGTACTTGAGTGAAGTGATGGTGACGATTTTATTCCTAATATTCCTCACTTTGACGATAAAGATGTAGGGATTACAAACCTTTTCCCTAATCAAGGTGAGGACATGGCTGAGATGGAATATTTTACAGCATTCTATGATGAACCACTCATGGAATACATTGTACACCAAACGAACCTGCATGCTGCTTACCTGATTGAGAGGGAAATCACAGAATTTTCACGACTGCAGCGTTGGAAAAATACCACAGTGGCGGAAATGTATGTGTTTTTGGCACTCTGTTTGTTGATGAAGCACTGTCACAAACATGCAATAAATGACTATTGGAGCAAGGACAAGACAATACCAACACCTTTATTCGGGAAATATATGTCACGAGACAGGTTTCAGATACTCCTCAGGTGTCTACATTTTGGAAGTGTTCAGGACCGAACACCTGATGATAGACTGTGGCGAGTGAGGCACTACATGAACGATGTTATTGGAAAATTCAGAGTTTTTACGTACCAGCACAGAAGCTGGTGGTTGATGAATCTCTCATACTTTTCAAGGGACGTGTTCCATTCAAACAGTACATTCCCTCAAAACGAAACCGATTTGGCCTGAAATTTTTTGTTCTTTGTGATTGTGAGACAGGATACGTGTTACACATGATTCTGTACTCGGCTAGTGATGTAGACATTCCCGGTAACGACGAACATGGATTCTCGGGGAGTGTAGTGAAGACCATCATGGCTCCGTGGATGAACAAGGGACACATTTTATACACAGATAATTACTATACAAGTCCCTTGCTAGCTCGGTTCTTGCTAGAAAATAGAACCGGATTGGTTGGTACAGTAAAGCCACAACGAAGGGAAATGCCTGTGTTTGACAACGACATTGCAGTTGGTGAGTGTCAGAGAAGGAAAAGTGATAACATTCTGTCAGTTCGGTGGAAAGACAAAAGAGAGGTGAACTTGTTGACAACAATTCATGATGGAACAATGGTGAACAGTGGGAAAGTGAGCCATAAAACAAACGCACCACTATATAAGCCAGACTGTGTTTTAGACTATAATATCAACATCCGGTTGATTGATAAATCAGACATGATGATTGGCACTGCAGAGTGTGTGCAGAAGACATGTAGGTGGACGAAAAAAGTGTTCTTCCATCTTGTGGACATGAGCATGCTGAACTGTTTCAACATGTACCTTGTGAGAACTGGACGTAAGCCCACTTTCCGTGACATTGTATTTGATGCTGCAATACTTTATTAGGAAAGTTTGCAAAAGATGTCCCAGGTATTCAGCGGCCCATCATAAACCCACTGTTGCAGCATGCTGGTACTCCACGCCTCGCTCACACTGAAGGCTTCCTAGCACACAAACTTAAGTATTTGCCACCTGGTGTGAAGCGTGCAATAGCCCAACGTGATTGCTTGGTGTGTAAAACGACGACACGTAGAGACAAGAAACGGAAGCTTGTGCAAACATGGTGTGAAACGTGTGGTATCCCATTATGTGCTGTCGACTGCTTCAATGACTACCACAGTCTAGAAATCTTCTAAGTGTGCTTCAAAGTGTGTATAGCGTGTGCGAGTGTGTAAATATGTAAACATATAAGCAGATAGCGTGTGCGTGTGTGTAAATATATACAAATATAAGCAGAACATACAATATAATAGACTGTAATGACATATTATATTGCCGTAATTGAAAACATTTGTGTGCGCCTGTGTATACTCAAATATGCAACAATTATTGACACAAAATATGTTCAAACAGTATTTGAAACACAATTAGTGAAAAAAAATTAGATAAAATGCGCTTAAACATTGTAAATAAATAGCGCGAAAATATATTTGTGGCAACTCTGGCTGTTTGAGGACCGCGCGCAACACCTCCCGGGCGTGTACTGCATGAGCGAACATGCAGATTGTGACGTCATCACCGAGCTTCTCGGCTCTATTGCAACAAAAGTAAGTACAATAGAATTCCCCCCCCCCCCCCCCCCCAGTGATCAGTGAACAGAACTTAACAGATTAGCAAAAAAAAAAAATTTTTTTTTTTTCAAAATGACATGCGCCTGTGCGGATGGCAGGATATTAGACCCCGAGCATGTTAAGGGTTAATGAAGAGATTTCAGAGATTGAAAAGTTGTATGCTATGCTATTAAATCTCGGTCAAATAGTAAACCCCAAAGGAGTCCCATTAATTAAAGGAGTTATTCTATCAAATAATAGGTATCATCTAGTAACCAATTAAATTTAGGCCATTTCATTGTGGGTTAGGAGAAAGAAAGGAAGATTCCTCTTAATAAAGAAAGCAATACGAGGTAGTGAAAAAATTATTGTAACTTAGAGGGGCTTGTGTATGAAACTAAGTTTTGAAGGAGTAAAAATGGTTTCTGCTATTGGAAGTGCAGTGTGATGATTTTTTTAGGGGATGGATGATCTGAATGGTAAAGCAGGATAAACTTTAGTAGTGACAGTTTCCACCTATTATGTCTCCCAAGAGTAAACGAGCAACTGTGTATTTAAAGATTTTTACATTTATGGATACACACAAATAAATTTGGAAGAGTTAATGATGAAAATCTATAATGCAAATTTTATTAACTACGTTTAGGGAAGTATGTAATCCCTTGCACTGTGACTCGCCTTTGAGTGTGACAAATTTAGAAGTATTTTGCTGTGGTTAGTGTCTGTTGGCACTTTTATGTCTTGGTTTTGTAAACATAAATCAGCTGAGGTGTGGCTGTTGCCTTTACTTGATTGGTAGAGGACTTTGATGATATTGTGGCCAGGAAGTGAAAGTTTTATTAGCTTTTTAAAGCTTAAACAATTTTTTTGTCACTATTGGTAATTTATTAAGGTTTAATACATTTAAATACTTTTTCAGATTTGCTTCAAGAGCCAAGTCAATAAAGAACCAACCCATAGTAAATGAAGTCTTGTCAGATGCAGCATTACTGAAGCGATATGCAACGGAGATAAAAAATCTGAAATATTCTCTTGAAAGAGAACGGCAAACTGACAAGGCTCAAGAGGTTGAGCAAGTGAGTATTTTCCTCATGTGGAATGGCTAGTTTGTTTTTTGCAGGTGACTATTTTAACTGCAATTTGAATTTACGAACCATTATTTAAAGTAATTACAAGCTTATTTTCTGGATTTGTGTATTAGACGAAGAAATTAATGGTGATTTTTTAACCTATTACTGTAATTCAATAATATTAAGTACAGTTGAATACAATGAATATAATATTTTCTGTGTACAACAGTTGGAAGATTTATTTCATTACAAACTCCAATTTATTCTAGTATGAAAGTCAGGTGGTATTATTACAGTAAAGTTCTCTTGGTAGATATCCATCATATGAGGTGAAACCTAAAATTCCAATGAGTGGACTCAACATATTTCACTGAATATTAGATTCAGTGAAATAGATTATATAATCACTGAATATTAGATTTAAAAGCAAATGATTGAGTTTAATTAACTGGAGTTACTGATCTAATTTTTTTTTTATGGGAGGTGAATTGTTAAATAAAAAGAAAATTCTTAATTTTTATGAAAGTACTGTACTGAGTTTGTTTACTACTACTGCAATCTCTGACATGCAGAAATGAAACTTGTGTGTTCAAGAGATAAAGCAGGGGAGAGAAGTTTGGGAAAAGTAGCTGGCATATGTAAGAAATTAGATCTGGTTTGAAGAAGGGGGTGAGGGAATGAAATGAGTGGGCTGAGTGCAGTACAACTTTGTGGAGTGTATATGTTGGTATATGTATATATTTACTCGTTATAATAGGAATTATTGTAAATCAAATGATTCTCTTAATATTAGAAATTATTTTATTGATTACAAAATGTTACAAATTTCAATACAGTATTGGCAACTTTATCATAAGTTTTAAAAGTTAGTCATGACGATTGCTGTAAGCTGCCCACCACGTGGGAAAATGTATAACAATTCCCAGAATTGGTTTCCACTGGAAATTTATATTATTATTATTAGTGCTTGTATCTATTGAAAGTTTTACATAAAATTCCATTTGTCAATTATGTGCTGAAATTTTTATTTCAGGTTCGAGAAAAGCTTGACGAACAAGAACGCAAGAATCAAGAACTCTTGGCAAAAGTTAACGAATTGAAAACAAAGTTGGTGGTGTCAAGCCATCCACGTGAGAGTTCTAAATCTAGCAATGTGAGTTTATGGATATGTTCAGTTTATGTACACAGTTTAGCTACAGTTTAAATCACAGTAGGAGGGTAGAAATAGCCTAAGCTACTCTATCCCTTTGATATGCATTTTATTGTCTCAATAAACGTACTTTAATTTGAAGACATAACAATAGCATGTTATATCAATAAGATTTTACTATATCACTTATATCCCTCTATTTTCCATACCCTGCTTTGACTTGAGCCTGATCTTGATTGTAATAATCTCCTATTACCATTTGACTGTGCAATAGTCCTTGATCAACCCAAGGAAAGGGGACTCTTAAGACTCAAGAAGACACTTTACACAGCCTACTTCAAGCCAATAAACAGAACAAGTAAACGAATTTAAAAGTTGATAGGTTTGCAATTAGGCAAGTGGTTGAATATTCTGTAAGTTACAAGAACATGTTGAGGGAATCCAGTGTAACAACTCCTGGAGAGTTATTATGTTGGTAACAACTCTCCAAGTTGATAAATGATATGACCACTACATACACTATAATATTAAAGGTAAGAGACTAGGTTGAGATAGACAGCCTTTTCCAGTTGAGGAAACAGATTGGCAAAAGTAAAGTTTAAAAAATAAAATTGTGCATTGAGGGTGGTTGACACATGGAAAGAAGTTGTAGCAACAGAGATCCCCACCTTCCAAGCTTTTAAGAGTAAATGATACAAACAAATGGAACAGGCAGTAGTTTGTGCATGCCAGATACAAATAGTTAAGAGGCAGTCCTCTAGAGCAGGATCTTGTGCTCTATTGAAACAAATTAGTGTGCATGAATGTTTTAAAAATATAGTTTTTCAATGACTCTACCACATAACACTTGTATGTTGCTGTAGGTCTTTTATTTTGTTTGATATAAATTTTTTAAATATTGTCTTCTGTTGTCCCCCTAAATAAATATTTTATTATAAACTTTCAGGCTAAAAAGAAGTCAAGACGTGAGACCTGGGCAGCACCAGCAATGTTCCGAGCTATGAGAGCAAGTATGGGTATCGTTCACGAGGAACCCATCAATGTGGACTACAAGTTCTTGGCTCCCGTGATCCCGCCATGGGTAGAGCAGAGCAAACTTTCAGATAGCCCTTGCTCAGAGTCTTCACTGTCGATGATGGAGTGCTCTGTTGTGTCAGATGGTAATTATTGTTATATGTACTACAGTACTTGTATACAGTTCAATATAACCTCGATTTGGCAAATTTTGTGTCCACCCCTGATTTGTTGGAGGAAGAGATTTGGTGCAACTGGGGGAAGGACTTCTAAAGGCATTGCTGCTATGCTGTTTTTCTTCTAATGTTGCTTCACTCTATAAAATCATTAAAACATGATTGGAGCCATATTAAATATTAAAACTTACCATTCATACCCTAATATTTCTCATGCTCTATGGCTAAATTCACATTTTAATTTCACCCTGTCATATGAAGGACCACTGCTAAGAGAATCTGTCTATAGAGAGATTTCACCAGATCTAGCATATTTCCCATGCCACAGTTTTGAAACCTCATTTTCAAAGGAAGGGCCCATACTTTAATGAAAACCAGGGTACCTGGACATAGAAACAAACTATAGAATTTAGTTTTAAATATGCTCACTGACTCCAAGAAACCCAGTTTCCTTTAATGTTGTGTCAATCTGAGTAGCATTAAAAACATAATTGGAGCAATATTAAGAAAGTTACAATTTGTCCTAATATTTCCCAGGCGCTGTAGCCCATTTTTCAGAGCGAAATTTTAATTTCTAACTTTCTTATGGGCAACTTTTACCAGTCTGTGAGCTCTCGCCCAATACTAAGCAAATCCACACATCTCCCACTCCACCAAACTCTTATTCGACGAATCAGGAGTATAAAATGTGAGTTGCAACCAGAAATTCATTGAATCGAGGTTTCACTGTATAGTAAAGCTCCTATTGATTTAGACTGTTTCTATGTTTTTTGTTGAATGTAAATAAACACAACACATTAGAACTGCCAACCTTCAGGTGCCGAACTTTAAAATTTGTATTAAAATCTTATTCTTTAATTGTTTGCTACTTTAACTTGTCACATTGAATGGCAACTACCAATTCAAAAATTGGAGTTAATGTAATTTTCTGGCATGTAGTTGATCATTTAATGAGCAGTTTTATATACAGTAATCCATCTTTTTAATAGGATTTGGCAAAGGTGAAACCACTATCAATATGGAGTTGGCTGAGCAGTCGAAGTTAGGGGTATTGGACAATAGCTTCAGCCCACCTTGTTCTATGGTTGTCAAACGTCGTAGGAGGGTGCAGTTTGAAATAAGCCCTCAACAGCATGAAGGGTTTTGTGATGCTGAATGTCAGACTGAAGAGAGCTTGCATCCTTTGACAGGGTAAGTACACTACAGTACACTTGTCTGTCAAGAATGTAAAGTAATGAGATAAAAATTTACAAACATGAATGATGTGTGGATAAAATTTTCTCATTTAATTCTAATTTTAAGGGGTGTCAGATGGTGACCAAAAGCATTATGCAACTGGCAAAAAATTTAATCTATTAGGCTGAAGTAGATGTAGATGAGGTGTTTGACTCTCATCCAGAGGAACTCTCATGGTAACCTTATGCCACTGGAGGCAGAAAAGTTTGAGTGCAAAATGGTTGTATTAAACTATTAAATACTCTTAATGCAAGGTCTTCCCTTGTACTACTTGTACTTCACTGTACTACTTGTATTGATCATACAGTATTGTCAGTTTATTTTCTATAAAATTTTTGGTTCCCTGATGTAGCATTCTAAACATCGATTATTTCTTTTCATTATGTAATTTTTATGCATTTTTCCTTCTAGCTATCTCAGATTATCGCATCCATCAACACCAATGGGGAAGTCTGAGTCAATATCTCATGCTCAGAAGATGGTGCCACCTGGTACCCCAGAACATATTCGAAAAGCAATAATTGAGGAGTTGCAACAGAAGGTGATCACTCAGCAGGAGTGGATATCAGAATATGAAGTAGAAATAAATGAGTTGCAAGAATTTCAGAGGCGTGAGATTGAGCTATTGCAGGAGAGCTTCTCTGCAAAGTTTCCTGGTGGATCAGTAGACAAGACGGTTAGTTTAACACTCGTGTTCCCATGACCTAATATGTGCCAATTAAAAAGTTTCTCAATGATAGGACTTCATACAAGTGTATGAAGTCTTGCAGCTTCTTGTTTGTGGTGATACTTTTGGGAATCAGTGATATTTGGTACTACAATATATTGAGGATATTGCCTACTTTACTTACGTGTTTGGTTCCAAGCCACTTTCTTATTTGTAATGACCCCCACTGTTGAAGCTAAGTAGGGCTAACATTCTTTGGGACATGGTTCTCCCATGGGATACCATGCTTAGTGCTATATTAATTTTGTTCATTATACTTACAAGTGTATATATTTATTTATTAATATGTATTTATTTGTTTTGGCCCTTAACAGTTTTATCTACTTTTTTTCTGCCTTTTTCTTTTTTTTCTGGGGGTGGAGGGGCAGTTTTCAGTCCCTGACTTGCTGGGTGGTGGCGCTCTTGGGGTTCGTATGGTTTGACTCTGGCAACCCGATATGTATACAGTACTTGCACATGTATGCAAATTGGCAAGTAAATGGGTTGATATGCAGGGTATTCTTTCATCTTACTCTCTTAATCTTGAGATTTATATAATGGCTAACTATAATGAAACATTCCTTTTCATGACTTGTGGTCCCTTGCAAATTGTTGTCTATCTTGCAAGGGTCAGAGACTGCTTATACAGGTGTGATCACTGGAGATCGGAGTTGGAAGGCTGTTTCTCAGGTAGGGCCTGACAGCTGAGTGGACAGCGCTTTGGATTTGTAGTCCTGAGGTTCCAGATTCGATCCCCGGTGGAGGTGGAAACAAATAGGCAGCGTTTCTTTCATCCTGATGCTCCTGTTACCTAGCAGTAAATAGGTACCTGGGAGTTAGACTGCTGTTACAGGCTGCGTAACAAAAAGGAGGCCTGGTACAGGACCAGGCCACGGGGACGCTAAGCCCCTAAATCATCTCGAGATAACCTCGAGGTAACCATCAGACATGTTAGCTGGTACGGTAACGATGCCAGAGGCATTTAGTGGTAGATACTGTCACCACATCTCTGCCAGGATTTATGAATAGGGCTGGGTAGGTTTGTACACCACCCATTTTCTTTCCCCCATTTTATAAGCACTTCCTTTGTGGATCTAATAAATGTGATAATCCCATCTTGTTGAGGTTTTTATCAGACCAAATCCTCATTATTATGTTGTAAACATGAGCAACTCCATGGGATTGGAATTAAGTAATCTAAGTTGCTAAGAAAAACCATTGTTTGGTATTTTAAATGCAATGTTGATGTTTCAGATGGAGCTTCAGAGGAAAGAGATAATGTCTCTAAAGCATTCTCTTCGGGATGCAGAGTCACTCTTACTTGATGCCAATAGAGAACGGTCACAGAATTCACAAGAGATGCTGACACTGCAAGAAGAAATGAGAAAAATTAAAGAAGAAAACTTGCGTTGCAGTTCATTTGAAGAAGAACTTCTTAAGCTACGTGAAGAAGAGAAACGGTTGAAGAAGGCTATAGTAAGTTTGATACATTTTGTATCTGGTAATTTCATTATTTATGAAGAGCCGAGTACATCAGTACAGTACTGTACTTTGCTCTTGGTATCTGATAGAAATGAGGTGTCTCTTTATACCCACCTTATAGCTTATTATACCTGATATGTTATTGTACATCTTGATGATAAAGTTCCACATTGTGTAGGGAAGTAGCTCCATGATGTCTCCTTTCAGTTCTTAACCATTTGTTGACCACCTATCCAGTGCATGAATACTGCACTAGCCATGCTCGACTCACTTGTGTTTTCAACTTTCACAAATGTCCTCATGTCCTACTTTCTCGCAGTTGAAAGAGGCCCCTTTGCCCGCACAATATTTTTAATATAGTGTTCTTATCCTTTTGAGTATGTAATTAGAATTCATAATGATCAAGGAGTACTAACAAGATACAGACACCAAAATGGGTGTAGCTATAAATTTGCAGATAGTGTTTCTCTACATTTTCTAGATTTGTTAGTTCCATTAACCTCTCTTGGTAGCTTAAACCTGTAAGTCAGGTACTAGAAACTAGTTGGTGGGTTTTCCTTACCTCGTTAGCTGTGCATCACCTGCACCTTGATTGGTTATTCACTTGCAGGTTGCCATCACTATGATCCTTATGTAGAATGTGTGTTTGGTGGTGGGCAGGTAATTACATTTATTAAATTTTTTTAAATATTGTAAGAAATTTTATCTGCAAGTACAGAGTAATGTATGTAATTTGCTTGTCTACTGCATTTTCATTGTACAACTACATCATACTTGTGGCTGGAAAGTGTAGGGCTATTGATTAATAATAAAACAAGTTTTGTGTTAGGTGAGGATGTTGGGGGAAGGGGGGGTTAGGCATTGATAATATTTTCGAAGTACTGTATCTTAAACCCAGCCATATTTTTCATATAATATTCACCTATAATAATTTCACTACAGGACCTAATTTTGTTCCTTCTTACCACCAAGGGTGAACATGGGGCTAAAAAAAAATTCAGTGTCTCATTAAAAGTCCTAAACAAAAATAATTAATACAAATTGTGTCAAAGTAACTAGATACCAGGACAAATGCATCCAATAAGCATAATTGGCAAAATCAGTTTTTCTTCATTTCATATAAATCAGACATTGTGAATATCCTTTAATCCCTTGGCAGCCACGGAGGATTGGATGTTTTTTATTTGGATCACCATTCAATGTTGCTGCAGCATCTCAAGGGATTTGGTTCAATATTTATTTAGGAGATATAGTCTTGTCCCTGTGAAGCTATTTGATAATCCAGTTGGTGGAAAAATAAAATGGCTTGGACGATATGTATTTATTTTGATGTCTCTGAGATCATGATTATGCGAGATGCAAGAACTAAGAGAACTTCTCGCAGCTTCTTCGAGATCTCGTGTTCTTTGATGGCAATGTATTTACTTTTTCTTTTGGTTTTGTGTGCGTGTGTTTATTAACTTCGGTGGTAGTTGTTATTTAGTCAGGGCTTGGGTATTCATGCATATTTTCTGTCCTGGCCTTTAATTATAGTTTGGCAACTGAAGTTTCTTGTATTTGGATTACTTTTTTTTTTATCCTAATGTGAGTTGTCTGTTCAGTTTAACCTGATATAAAAATATTTAATTACCTGTATTATTAATTAACATTCAACAGGCAAGCAAGGATGATAGACTCAAACAACTTGAAAATGAACGCCAAGATTTTGATATGATGATGGAATTAGCACTACAGAAGCAGAAGCGAAAAGAAAATGATCTAAGGAAAAGCCTAGATGTAAGTTAATGCCATTAGTAATATTATTTGACATTAGAGTAGGACCCTATAATTTTCTTAGGCAGTGTGTATCTTTAATGACTTTCTTTCTAAAATTGAAAAGAAAAAAAAAAAGGCTTTGAAAAAAAAACCTTGTGTAGAATTTAAAGACAATTGAACCAATACATTATTTGGTACAGTTTAAATACTGTCTTCTTAAATACTTTTGAAATTGGAAACAGGGGAGTGAGTGAAGACTGTGGACTGTAATATAAATCCTACACATATAAGTAGGATAGAAAGAGGAAATAAGAGCTCCCTATTCTCCTCAAAAATTGGGAAATGGCATGAGTCATTGAGCAGGTACTGTGAACATGGACGATATACCACCAACGGGTGTTACAGTGACTGTTGGCAAACCCCTCCTCTCCCTTACCTAAAATAAAAATAAGGGCACCTGTAAAATCATTTACAGGCATGCCTGGTGGATGGCCACATGATGTAGTAAAAATGGAACAAAAAATTAATAAAGATCTACTTGTCATTTAGGCTTTAAACTTCATTGCAGAATATACCATATAATTTCAATATAATTTGTTTTACATTTTAGTAATGTAGAATATTTTGAAGCTTTAACAAAGTTCACCAATGCTCCTCCAGAATCAGTAATAGTGCTTTTATCAAGTTTTTAATTGCCAAAATCAAATTTGTGCACTTCGAAAGATTGTAATGTTTACATGAATTATTAGACTTTAAAAGGCATATGACAAAGTTAATAGTGATTATAGTATGGAGTGATGAGCATTAATGGTGTTGGCAGAGTTTTGTAAAATATTAGGGAAAGTTTTCTGTAGGAAGCAGTGTATTTGTTATAGTTAGTCGTATATAGAGTGTTTACTTTAATGATACTGTTGGCGAGTCTCAAATTTAGTTCTGTACTAAAGCTGAAGACTGCCTATACAATAGGCAGGAGTACTAACAATATACAGACACCTAATATATTATTAGGTGAACCTTAATGTTGCAACAAAAATATTGTTGGAAGTGAGAGATGACTTTCAAAAGATAATGTGGCTATATAAAATAATGGTGGGGGAGAATTAAAGGAGACGCTTCATGCAAAATATGAGGTCAGTAAAGAGTATGAAGTGGTTGATCGTTGGTTCTGTAATTGACTGAAGAGGAGCTTGGGCCAGAGAAAGTGGGAATAGAGTAAGTCAGTGAAGGAAATTTTCTTGAACAATGACAGCACTGCCTTGGGAGAATGCAATAGGAAAAGATTTAGGCAGAGGGCTATATGAAGGATTTGTAGTTCTAGCACATACAGTATAATGTATGGATGCTGGATTAAGGCTTTTAAATGGGATAGGGACAAACATGGATTTAAGCAGGATTATGAAACTATCTGAATAGATCAGAACTTGCCACAGTGGGTTCAAGCTGGAGAAATGTTCTTTTGAGGGGGATTTAGAAATTGGTTTGTAGATGAGTGAAATAAGTTGCCAGCTAGCATTATTGAGAGAGAGTAGCAAATCTTTAGAATAGATTGGATAAATATATTTGAGAGGGGGAAGGATTTGAACTGGATCATTCTATTATGGGCCAACAGTGTTTCATAACTGTTAGGGTGTGGCATGAACATACAATATAGTGTTAAGAGTGGTGGGTATTTTTGCAAATGTGGCTAATTAAGCGAAATCTCTGACTTTGTATACAGTATTTGAAACAAGAATAAGCTAGAAAGTTGTGAAAAGATCTTATAGCCTCTCTCATTTCAAATGTTGGAAAATAAATCAATTTTCACATACCTAGGATGCTTGGAAGGAAATAGCAGCTTATGAGGGAAGTACCAAAGAAGATATGAAGAGACGCAGCGAACCTGTTTCGCTGCTGAAGGACAAGGGAACTAAACTCCGCGACAGCATCCAGCTGCCCGAAGAGTAAGTGGAAACAATCTATTTGTGTGTATCTCTTGTACAGTGGCCTGTATGACATGCAGTGTGTGTTGTGCTTACCCACTATCCTATCTGTGACTGTTAGTGAGATCTAGCCCTTTATGCCCTGCCTCCTATGACTGCCACTTCAAGTTAATTTTTAATTCCAACTACCAAATATACTGTTCTCAAACTGCATCATGCAATACTTGGGCAAGTTGTTGTTTACATTTATTATAAAATATGTTCCTTAAATGCAGGCAATTATTTATATATCATGTCTAATGTTAAATAATATTGCAAATGTATGACACAACAATCATTATTATATTTTAACAGAGCAGAGCAAAAAATAAAGAACCTTGAGCAACAGTTAAAGGAAGCTCACTACAAGCAGGAAACAAAACAGAAGGAAATAGCAGAGCAAAACTTGAAGCTTCAACAGGTAAATGGGTTTTATTTGTCAATTTGAATCCTAAATATATATATGGCCAATATATATAAGAATATCATTCTTAACTTTGATGATAATCTCTGCATTGCAGTTATGATTAATGATACCTGTATATGCAAAAAATACTGGCCATTTGTTTTTGTTTAGTGCTCATAAAAACTTTGCTGGGCTAGATGATTATTTGGTCTGTGAACTAATGGGGTGTCATTAATATTTCATCACAAGTAAAGGGAAGAGTTGAAATGATTGTGTTAGAGATTTTGTGTGTGTGTGTTGTTGCACTTAAGCTTACACAATAAGTGGAATAACAAATTTATTTACATATAATTGATAAACCACAGTGATCTAGTTATTACTAGATCACTGCAGGGTAATCACTGCAATGTACATATTACATTGCAGTGATTACCCGGCAATGTAATATGTACACCATATTTGCACGTAAACAAAAGTAGCGTTTCGTTTCTGCCCATAATGCAGTGTGTTAGTGGCTTTGCATGAATGTAAAAATACAATGATGCAATATCAAATTGTTGACTTTATCTGTGCTAGGTTTTTAAGAAGATACTTTGTTTCATTCGTGATATACAACTGACACACCATTTGAGCAAAATATTAATTTATATCAAATATCTGCAGATGTCTGTGTTAGTAAAGAGAATGGCAGAAATTGAGTCTCAAGTTTCCTGTGTGGAGAGTCTCAAGAGCAAGTTGACCAAGACTCAGGATGAACTGGAAAATTTGACAAGAGAGAACATGGACCTGCAAGACCTATGTAACTGTCTACAACAGGAAGGAGATGTTGGTCAGCTTCAGGCACTGCAGGAAGAGGTAGTTTTTAATTTTAATTTAATCTTGCCTCTTTTGCTGTTATATGTGGCTGCAATTAAATGGGAGAAATAAATACTCCACTGTGTTAAGTATATTTTACTAAATGTACTTTGTGTTGTAAATTTTTGTAGCCATCTGGAATGATCTTCTGACCTCTGGCCTTCAGAACTGGAGTTTGGACCCAGTAACTAAAGCTGTTAGACGACAAAAAGGGAAAATTTTATGACTGGCTGGCAGAAGATCAGTGCTGTGTGGGATTGTTAACCTTAATCTATGGAATAACAACCACAGTGGAGAACAATGTGGTTTTTAAACATTTACATGGAGTTCCCACTTTACGAACATTCGTCCATTCAAATATTCTCCCATGTCCCCCCTTCATGCTTAAATCATTGTACTAATTCACTGGAGCATCACTATGAATTTCACGAATGCTCCAACGTCTGTGCGGCAGCCAAATGGAATCTGGAGTACAGTATTGTATGGGTTGGTGCAGGGGGGTGTAGGTTTGTGTGGGTGTGTGTTATAGACCCACCAGTGGCCAAAAGTCCTCAATGACCCTCACACGAATGATTTGATCATGTTTCCTCTGTTAGTGGGGTGGGGTGGGGCCCTGGGCTGGTGATAGGAAGTCGGGGGTGGGGAAGCATTTACTCTTGACGCCGATTACAAAATGGCGGACCACAGATACAGTACACCTGTATTTTCATTTATTCATGTAATTATAGCACTTCACCCTTTAAAAACTGCTAACTTTGACAAGCAGGATACTCCGTCATTCAAGGTAAATAATGTTGTGCTTTTATATATTGTGTGTGTCCAAAATATTGCTTCTGTGACAATTTTTGGTGGCCTGAGAACGCCTGGGAAGCATCTCCCACTTAGAGCATTGCGCCTGTGAAAAATCTCGATCTGTGTCCCAAGCAAATGCTTTACAGTCTCAGAATGTAACTCATTTGTAATTGGGGAACTGCCTGTATTTTAACCCTTAAACTGCACATGGCATATATATACACCACGAGTAACATGTCCCACCGTGCGCATGGCGTATATATATACGCCATAGGGTGAGAGGCACGATTCAAATGGCCCACGGCTACTCGTGGTTCACATCAGTTTCCTCAGGGCTCTTGTAAACAGACGCCATGTTTAAAAAGAATCGTGAGCAATATTCTCCGGTAACAGCGCCACAGTACTGTGGGAGCAACCAAGGCTGACGCACGCAGCATGAGCTAACAGCATTGCTGTTCAGCTTGTGACCACAGCATCGCCTAAAAATGTCAAAATAAATATGTAACTGCTATTATTTAGCGATGACAGTATTACAGGTGATCCCTGTCTATGATAACAATGACCAGGATTGTGATAATAGCAGGATTGTTGTGATGATTAGCATTGTGTGGGAGTAATGTTGAGGGAGGGAGGGAGACTGTGTGGCACCTATTATTGCCTGCATTCAACATACTAGCTCAGTGGTTCTCTATATAACGTCTGTATATAGTGAATAAAAGCAAAAACAGTATGGTGGGAGGAAAATGTGGGCTAGTGAGGTGGTGGTGTGGGTGGAGTGGCAGCGAGTGGCTGGCTGGTGTGTGGCGGCCACTCTTCGTTGCTCTTTGACTTGCATTACCAACTTAGTGATTCGTTATGGTGAACAAAACCTGCAGATACTTATATATAACTTTTGTATATAGTGTAATAACAGCAAAACTATTTGTTTATTATTTTATGAACATAATTAAATCCCTAATATGCACACCATACTTTTGAGTATAGCGATGATTCACCTCTTTTATTATATAAATATATCACACTATACACTATTGAACTAAGAAAATATCAATCACATTGAAATGTTTAGGTAATAATATCTTTGTGGCAACTCCCGCCTCTCAGCTCGGGTGACACTGACGCCTCTGACGACTGCTCTGTCAATGGCCACATTTTGCCAGACTTCCTCGGCCTATTGCGCCCAAAATATGTCGCCTACAATTTTTGTATTATTTTTCCCGTGCTCAGGGAACACAAATTAATTTTAACATTTTCAGAAGACGAAAAAAAAAAATTAAAATTTTTTTCTTGCGCACGGGTGTAAATCTCCTCAGGACCCCTTAGCAGCTTCAGGATTAATGGCAAAAATATATACATTGCCAGTTAATGAAAGGTTGCTGTTATTGAAATTAAGTTAAGGTGTGTGCTGGTTCCATTATGAATTAGGTTTGTGGGGGTTCCATTATTTTAAGGCATAAAGTATGTCGGGCTAAAGCTCTTAGTTCAGAACACTTTTGGGCATTTGCCACCATAGTGTATTTTTTGCTTTGTTGTGTATGCTTCATTTTGAATTTGTTGTTACTTTCATGCAAAAGGATGAAAAAATTAGCTAAGCTTACAAAAAAATAAGCTTGTTTATTTGTTAGTTTTAAACAAAACAAATTTAGTACAAGAGAAAAAGTAATCATTTTGGGATCGTTTATTATGGCACGGCTATTGCTTATAACAAGTGACAAGTTCTCGTTGTATTTTAAACTGGAACATATGAAGCCATTTGGCCCACCTTGATTGTGTATCCAATTTTGTCAGAAAGAGACAGTTTTAACCACATTGTGTATATGAATGTTAGGAGGTCAAATAAACTAGACAAGCATCCACCAAAGAATACAACTAAGTAAAGTGTTTGTTACCTTCCCAGATGCCACATCTAAGGGCCACTAATGATTTTTTCTTTTAAGGTACAGTATCTTCGCGACAAGCTGGAAGAGGCTGATGTAGGAAAAAGCACAACAGTGTTGCGCATCCCACACATTAATGTTGGCAAGGGAGACATCACTCTATCATCTTGGGAAATTTCTCGCAAACTGTCGGAAACATTGCAAGTTTTAGAAGAATCTATAGTAACTCCTTCTTCACCGATTAGAGGATCCATTAGCTCTCTAGATGAACCTTTCTTGCAAGCACAAGAACTGGAGGTCATCAAACAGCAGCTACTGGGCCTTCAGGAATTAATTCTTGCACAAGAGAACTATGTACTTCAGAAACAACAGGAGCTGAAAGACCTGGATGCAAAAACAACATTTGAACGCTTGTATCACCCACAGGTATGAAGTAGAACTTTAGGCACTTTTCATATTTCTTCAGTGCATTCAGCTAAGAGGTAAATATCTGCATACAGTTCTTACATTCAACAATATTTAAATGTGAACACACTGTAAATTTTTATGAAAGCATTGCTTTAATAATGTTGGTCGGTTCTAATAATCATTAATACCACATTTGAAACTTCTTTGAGGCAATTAGAAAAATATCGTTTAGGAGTGTAAAAAGTCCCACATTTTACATGAAAAGGTATCTCATAGCCTTGACACATCACACTGTAACAAACCTTTATTCAAGCACTTTTCTGCTTCATAACACTAGGCGTAAAGTGCTTCCGCTGAGCTGTATAAGGTAGGTTACTTACTCTTAACATCATCTACTCACCCACCCCACTATGTCAACCACACCTGCCCACAGACAACCTCATACACCAGTGTCCATATTTTATAATATTGAGAGTCTTTATCTGGCCTAAGACACGCTGTGACCAACAAATGCTCGCTTGCTTGGTTGTTACTTTTCATATACCTTGCATTTTTATTTTCTTTCAGGTAATTGCAGAAGTTGAAGAGGAAGTAAATGTATGGAAGTTACAAGAATCTTTCTGTTCAGAATATATAATATATTTCTGGAGCTCTCACTACAATTGCAACCAGTGGGGCCGGCCACGTTCAGGAGCAGCTGATGTGATGCTCCACACTGACACCACAGCGTCAGAAGAGGCAGCACAGAAAATGGATTATAAGGGAAATGGTTGTGATTGTAAATATACAATCTGTAAGTCAGCTTTTGCTGAAGAAAATGCTGCTGTTCTGTCATTTGGTCAAGAGCCTCATTGTGTTCAAACTTCTGATGCTTTGTTCTCAAGTACTGAATTAGATGCATTGAAACAAGTCCAGCAGTTAAAATGTCAATTGGAACTTGTAAATACAGAAAATAAAGCCTTACACAAGCAGGTAAATAAGCTACAAGAAAATTTGAATTTTAAAGGTTATGTACCAAAATGTCACGCTTGTAATGAATCTGTATACGAGACTCCTCAGCAGTCAACCGCGCCTCAATCTCTGGCTGATGAATTGCGTCAGTCATTATTTAATGAAACATTTGAGACTTCCATACTCAATCTTGTACCAGATGCCAGTATGTCAGAAACCCAACAGATTAGTTTGGAACATATGAAAGAAAATTTGGTAATTTCAGAACAAGGAGAAACTGTGAGAAAAGAGAGCCAAAGTATAGTGGAAAAATCACAAAATGTGGTTGACTTGGAAAAAGAACTTCAGTCGGCTAAAAAAGAGAAAACTGCCTTAGAATTGGAAATTGAAAGGCTTAAGAAATTAAATGATACATCAATATTAGAAGAGGAAATACATAGTCTTCGTTGGCAGGTTAATTCTTTAAGTGAAGTAAAAGCAGAATTGGAGGAGGAATTGAAACTTTACCAAGAAGAACTTGAGAAAATGATGGAAAAGGAAACCATTCAATTGAAAGATGGAAAGAAAATTGATGATTTAAGTCCAGATGAGACTAAGTGGGCCTCTCTAGAAAAGGAAAAGCTTAAAGGAAATGATGACATTTGTAAGCCAAAGGTTCACATTGATAATGAAACGAAGGCTGAATCTCTCTACTGTAAAGAAGACATTGAACAGATGCAAAGCAAACTGCAAGAATCGGATAAATTGATTGCTTCTCTAGAAAAAGAGAAAGAAGAATATATTGAAACTCTAGAGGTTATGAAAGAAAAGCTCCAAAGTAAGTCAAAAGAATTTGATGAAGCAAGAGAGACTGCTTCATGTTTTAAATCCAAAGTTGAAATACTAAACCGTCTAACTAAAGAATTGGAAGATGCTAAAGTGATCACTGCTGCTATAAAAGGAGAACTTGGTAATGAAGTACAAAGTGCAATAAGAGAAGATGAAATTGAGATGACTGATATGCTCAGAGATTTAAGAGAGGTGATTTTAACTATGAAAAGTGCAAAGGTATTGTTTGCAGATAAATTAAAAGAAGCTGAAATTAAAATTGCATCATATGAAGAAAGAGAAAAGAATTACAAGCTGGAGAAATGCTCATTCTCTGAAGAACTGAGAGAAAAGGAAAAGGAACTTGAATGTGTGAAAGAGAAACTTGTACTACTACAGGATGAAGGGGAGCAGCAGCTTAAAAATTTTGAAGAGAAGTTAACAAATGTGATTGCAGAAAAGGACAGTGAATTAGAAATGGTCATAACTAATTTTATTGCCAAGGAAGAAGCCTTTGAAAGCAGAGAGATCGAACTAAAGACAATAGCTGAAAAATCAGAGGAATTGAAACATGTACTGTACAATAAGGACATAGAGATTCAAAACCTCGGGAAGATGTGTGCAGATCTCCAAAACATGGTGAAGGATTTGGAGGCTAACGTATCAAAAAAAGCCATTATGTTTTCACAAATTGAGGAAAAATATTCAGAGCTTCAAAAGGAGTTTGATCTTCTAAAAATTGTGTGTGACAACAAGATTCTAGAATTGAACAAATCTGTAACCAGTTACGAAGAGCAACTTAACAAGACAAAAGAAGATTTATCTAAATCTCATGAAGAAAATCAGAAATTGCTGTTAGATGCAGAATGTGCTTCAAAGACTGGGGCCACGATTACTTTGGCTGAAGGCTCTGGCCAAGTTATTATAAACCAAAAATTGGATGAATTAGAGCACCTCAAAGATGAGTACGCTATTAAAATAAAGGAATGTGACCAACTAAGAAACACAGTTGATAACCTTAAGATCATAGTATCAAAGAAGGAAGATGAACTTAAAATTATATCATTGTCACGTAATGAAGAGGTGTGTTCTTACACACACAATCTGAACAAGAAAGATGAGGAAATAAATAATCTTCAGAATATTTTAAAAACTAAGAATGAGGAAGTTTTCAGCTTGAATGCATTGACTGAATCCAAAGATCACAAGTTGAGGCGGCTCGAAAGTGATTTGAAAGATGTAAAACAGACTCTTGATGATAATGAGAGAGCGCTTCAGGAATCCATATCTTCTAAAGAGAGGGAGATGTCGAGCAGAATGCAGGAGCGCGATGAGGAAATAGAACGCTTTAAAAAGCTTTATGAAGAGGTATGTTCTGATAGAAGATGTATGAGTGATGCCATAAAGAGTCATGGGGAAGAGGCACAGCAATTAACAAGAGAGTGTAATGGCCTCAAGCTTAAATTAGTAAATTTGGAAAATGATTACAAAAATATCACTGATATCCTTAAGACAAAGGAGGCTAAAATTATGGAAAAAGAAGGTGTAATATCCTTAATGAAATTAGAATGTCAGAAGCTGCAGGAAGATATCTCTATTTTTAAATCTAAAGAAAAATGTTTGATTGATGAACAAGAGTCTAGAAATGAGGAAAAGGAGAAGGTAGTTGGGATCATTGAAAAGTATGAAACTGAACTGTCGGAAAAAGATGAAGAAATATGTAAACTTAGAACTGTGGTGGAAAGTAAGGCATCTAAGCTTGGTGAGATGGAGGAGACAGTGATGTCTCTTGAGAAGACTAATAAGGAGATGGCTGAAAAGTGTAGTAATACTGAAGCTGTGCAAAAGAAATGTATAATTTTGGAAGAAGAATTACTGAAATGTAAAAGTGTGTCGAGTGAGCTGGCAAGCCTTGCAGAAAAATTGGTTTCCACAGAGGACAAACTTGAGGCTGTACAAGCCAGTCTCAATGCTAAGATCGAAGAGTATGAGGCAACAGTTGCTAAACATGCTTCAGAAAAAAAAGAACTTAATTTACGATTACTAGAGACTGAAGAAAATTACAAAACTGTTAAAGATGAGCTAGAAAGAGTAGAGATTCAGTTGCAAGACAATATAATGACAGATTATAGGAATATAAAATTATCATTAGAGTGTACTAAAAATGAATTTTCTCAGAGAAACTCTTACTTGGAAATGGAAAAGGCAAAGTTAGAAGAAGAACTTTCGTCTTGTAAATCTCATGAAGAGGAAATGAATGCTCAAATAGAATCAAATAATGGACAGATTGAAAAGCTAATCAGACTCGTTGAGAAATATGAGACAGAAATGTCTGAAAAGGAGGAACAAATGCAGAGGCAGAGCATAAAATATGAAGCAGAAGCTACGGAGAAAGAGGCACAGGTGCAGAAACTGCTAGAGACAATTGAGACTAAGTTACTCATGATCAGTGAGTTAGAGGAAACAGTTAGGTCTCTTGCTAACAAAAATGACATAATGATACAGAAGTGTTATGAAATGGAAGATTTGGACAAAAAATGCATTTCCTTGAGCGAAGAAATTATGACCATAAAGAATGTTCAGAGTCAGTTTGAGATTGTGTCCAAAGAATTGGCTGCTGCTGAAAGCAAAAATCAAGCTCTGCAGGAAGACTTAGAATCAAAGATAAACAAATACAATAAAGAAATTGCTAATTGTATCTTGGAGAAAGAGGAACTCGACAATCAGTTAATACAAACTAAGAAAGAACTCGGCATCATCAAAGCGAGGCTTTTAAAGTGTGAAGAAGACTTGGAAGAAAAAACTGTTGCTTTACGTTTGAAGGAAGAGGAGAACTGTAAATTGGATGCTGAATTGGACGATATGGTAAATTATTACAAAAAAGATAGCCTTATGAAAGCTGAGATGTGTGAGGAGTTAAGCCTCAAGTATAAGAAGGTGGAGACAGAACTCTCTGAAACAAAGCTGATGCTCAAAAAATCCTTTCAAGGTGATCAGTCATCTGTTAGTCAGGTTACCATTAATAAGACACTTGGAGGAAATACAGAGCTTCATAACACAATTGAATCCCTGGAGAAAAGATTATTATCTACACAAGAAGAGCTAGAAAGGAAGGAGAAAGAGTGTGTTGCACTAAATGTAGAGATGGATGAGATAGTGAAGCATTTTAAGCAGGAAGGCAAATATTTGGGGGAAGAGTATGACAAAGTTGCAGAAAAGTTAAAGAAAACCGAGGATGAGCTCTTGGCTACTAAGGCAAACTTTTTGGAGTTATCCAAACATGAAGTGGCACTAGTTGGTGGCACCAGTATTGCTTTGTGCAGTACCAAAACTCCAACAATAGAATGGGGAAATTCTTCTCAAGATAAAAATATCTTAGACGAGGAATTGACTTCTCAAAAGATGGAAAATTTAAAACTTAAGAAACAAATTAAAATGTATAAAGAAAATCTAAATGATTTAGAAAAAAATAGAGAAATCTTGCAAGCAGAATTGAAAGAAAGAACTGATGCTTTCGCGTCTGTACATGAAAGATTGCGTAACCAAGATAAATTGAGACTTCTTCAACAGGAGGAAAGAGAGAAGCTAGAAAAGAAATTAGTGGAATATCACAGCCGATTAGAGGCTGTCAGACTATCGGCAGGCAGTGGGATGAGAAGCTTGGAGAAAATTGATGAACTGTTACAGAAAATTGAGATAATGGACCATGAACTCGCTGAGGCAAATAAGAAATATGAGGACCTCACAAAAGAATACAGTCAGTGCAAAGTAGAGTACTCAAGATTATTTGAAAAGCATGAAGAACTTAAAGTTCATACTGCAAAGAAAGAGATGTTATTGGAAGAAAGAATTGATAGTGAAGAGAAGCTTGTACAAGTAAGTAAACAGTTCGATATAGAAATTAATTGCTCATCCTCAGAGCCATCTGATTCAATTCTTAATGGAAGAAAGAAATCAAAGACATTTGCAATTGAAAGGGAGAGGGATGCTCTAAGAGAAATGTGTGAAGAGTTTAATGAAAAAATAAAAACTTTAGAATCGACCCTAGACTCTCTCCGACGTTCTCAGGGTACAGTGTCAACAGTTGAGGAGTTCCAACGGGAACTTTCATGGATGAGGGAAAAGATGGAGGCTGCCGAGAAAGAACGTGCTCTCGTCAATTCCAATTATGACAGCCTTGAGAGGGACTTTGAAGCACTACAAAGGGAAATGGAAGGGATCCAAGACAAGGTGAAGGAACAAGATCTTGCTGTCAAAAGTGAGGAACTTCAGAGGTAATTTATGCAAGAAGAAATGTTACAAAATTTATTAAAAAATATATATATATATATATATATATATATATATATATATATATATATATATATATATATATATATATATATATATATATATAATGTCGTACCTAGTAGCCAGAACGCACTTCTCAGCCTACTATGCAAGGCCCAATTTGCCTAATAAGCCAAGTTTTACTAAATTAATATATTTTCTCTACTTTTTTTTCTTACGAAATGATAAAGCTACCCATTTCATTATGTATGAGGTCATTTTTTTTTATTGGAGTTAAAATTAACGTAGATATATGACCGAACCTAACCAACCCTACCTAACCTAACCTATCTTTATAGGTTAGGTTAGGTAGCCGAAAAAGTTAGGTTAGGTTAGTAGTTGAAAAAAAATTAATTCATGAAAACTTGGCTTATTAGGCGAATCGGACCTTGCATAGTAGGCTGAGAAGTGCGTTCTGGCTACTAGGTACGACATATATATATATATATATATATATATATATATATATATATATATATATATATATATATATATATATATATATATATATATATATATATGTCGTACCTAGTAGCCAGAACGCACTTTTTAGCTGTTACGGCCCTATTGGGTCGCAACTGGGTTCTTTCTCTGATGTTAGTAGAGTAAGGGTATCCGGCCCCAAGTTAGTAGTGGCTTTCAAGGGATGTGATCCGTAACGCAAGTAAATTAAAGGGGAAGGGATACAAATTAAATAAACTTAATATATAATTACCATCACCATAAATACATATATAAAAGGTCACATGGGAGGGGGGGGGTATAAACACTATAATATACAATCTGGTCTTCCTCTGAAGACACGGAGTGTTCCACGGTGCTCAACGATGCTTAGCTCTTGGTCCTCTTGTGGCCTCACGATGAATCCTTCGATTCTCTCGAGTCTACCCTGGCCACAGGCCAGCCAAATCACAGTTCCACTGGGGGCACCGTCGTGGAGGCCTTCAACCACAAATCCATCCTGTAGCTGGCAGGTTCCAATCAGTTCCGCAGGTTAGGCCACTCCACGACCGATACTAGGGTTGCGAGCCCTAGGCAGGAGCCTCGTGTGACTTCACAGCTCACTCTCCTCACCACAACACCCCAGTGGCTAGTCTTCTCCTCCAGTCAGCCCCGGGTACGACAAATCCTCAACTGCCACGTCACAGGCAGGCTAACACAACAGTGTTCATCCGGGGGGGGGGGGGTGACTCAATTTCTGCAGCTAACACTTGGAGATTCTACGGCTGCCTTGGGTAGACTCCTCCACCGTCCGATTCAGCAGTCCCAGGTCGACTCTGTAATCAGACACGTCATCAGTAATAGGGACACTCTAGGGCACGTCACTTTCAGGCTTAAACACAAACGCCCACCTATCCACTCCATAGATGGCATTGCTGTCTAAGCGCCACCTCACCAGAGGTCAGCAGCGGCTGTGTTATGAGCTGATTAGGACGGGAAACTAGCCCTTTTGGCCAGTATATCTCATCCTCACTAGATGGCGTCGTCCATTTGGAGGGGGTTTCGGGAGCTGACCCACAGATGGCGCGGTCGTCACTGCTCCGTGCTCAGACGCTGGGCTCGGGTCCGTAACATTAGCCTACTATGCAAGGCCCGATTTGCCTAATAAGCCAAATTTTCCTGAATTAATATATTTTCTCTACTTTTTTTTCTTATGAAATGATAAAGCTACCCATTTCATTATGTATGAGGTCATTTTTTTTTTATTGGAGTTAAAATTAATGTAGTAAACCTATCTTTATAGGTTAGGTAGCCGAAAAAGTTAGGTTAGGTAGTCGTTAAAAACAATTAATTCATGAAAACTGGGCTTATTAGGCAAATCGGGCCTTGCATAGTAGGCTGAGAAGTGCGCTCTGGCTACTAGGTACGACATATATATATATAAAATGTTATTTGCTACCTTAATAAACACAATACTGCACTTGAAAGACCACTGATTATTTTTTGTTTAGCAGGAAATATGAAGAATTAAAAGAAGAAAATAAGTTGTTAAGACAAGCTACCAAAACTAAAGTGGCGGATGCTTCAGTTGATGGTGAGCAAAATAGTCTCTTTATAATAGTGTGTTGTATGAACACTAACATAACATTTTGAAATGCTTTTGTTTGTACAGTCCAGAGTTTTGTCTTTATTTTATTAGCATTGGGAATAATTTCTGGTATTTAGTGGCTTCTTGAATTTGGGACTGCCTGTTCATTTTTACTAATGATATCTGGTCTACTGAATATTTAGTTACTTTTAACTATTTATTGCAAACATATTATTTTTTTAATGACTGAACATTGTGGAAATCTGTGCTTACCTGTCATCTCCTTGCCACTTATATCTGGCATGCTATATTAAATCTCTTGACATTCAAGTTTTCATCATACATTTTCTTAAGTTCTGAATAAAGTAGTTTTGGAATGGTTGTGTGTGTGTGTGTGTGTGTGTGTATATATATATATATATATATATATATATATATATATATATATATATATATATATATATATATATATATATATATATATATATATATATATATATATATATATATATATATATATATATATATATACATACACACAAAATTGTTTGCAAATGATTGCTACAGTATATCATTTGTATTTATATTGGTATTCGTAGAGTTGTGTAAAATCCTGGCAATTGTGTAATTGTTGCACCCATTAATAATTGTCAGTTATTTCAAAATGTTGCTCTCCTGGTAAGATTAGTCACAACATTTTAGTGCATATGCATATAATTTAATCTTTCCTTGCAACTCTTTCCTCTCGGAAGGGAGTGACAATGTCACCAATCCTTAACCGTTTACCTTTGTTTATATATCGGTAATTATGGACCTGGTTGTAAGCCAATTGATCATGTTCCAGGGGGAAACTGATAGGGTAAGAGTTAAGATAAGCTGTGGGAGTAAGAGCTCTAAGTCTGCAAATAAGAGTCGGTCATCTACACTTTTTGTTTTTAATCCAATTCTGCAAAAATAACTGATAACACCAATACCTATACATATGTATACCTCTTGTAAGCAAACTTGTTCTTTTCCTGTGAGTATTTCAAAATAGGCATACAGAAGGGATAGAAGACACTTCTGAACTTTTGAACCCCTCACCAAATACCATTTAAAGAAGGGACCAAGCCAGTCCTTAAACCAGAACCTAAAACCTGTAGAGAGGGGGGGGGGCACTCAGAGGCCTTGGTTACTTTAAGACCTGAAAATGTACCTTACCAAAGAGGAGGAGGGTGGGGCTGCAGAAAAGGAGAATGGAATCAACCCCAAAGATAAATCCCAGTTGCAACATTTGGAAACAACCCTACACAAAGCACAAAGACAAAGGAGCTGGTCACAAAAAAGGGGCAAAACTTAAAAATGCTCAGTCACCTGAGAAGCTGTCCAAAGTCATAGACTAAAAGAACTAATGAGCAACAACAAAGCATGTGTCCACTACACCAGTGTTAACTCATCGTGTACCCTGCTGTTATTGTAATCCTGGTACTCGTTGCATCACTGTGTCCCAAAATATACTGTACTGTACTTTGGTTGGGAATGCAGTACAGTACATTGCAGCCTTTGTCACTTAGCAAACATTAGTGTAAAAAAGTGGAATTCCTGAGCAAAACATGCACACCCAAGATGCAGTTGATCTTGATTTTGCAGCCCCTCCGTGGTGCCTCCTTGCCGTGGTGAGGGGCTCACGTACACCTCCCTGGGACGGGTGTGGGTTGCCTGTGCCCCCTCTTTGGGTGGTGTACGTGCTGAAGGGCACCATGTAGGGACCTTGTGAGCCATTGGACCACCCGCTGGAGGGGTCGCTTGTGAGAGGCCGCCCTGAGTGGATGGTTGGGTGTCCAGGCTAGGGCGATAGGGGGACTGGGGTCTTAGCACCAGTGTGGGAGAATGAACGCAGTAGTAGGACTTCCCTGTTGAAAAGGGGAAGCACCGCTGGGGACGACACACCCTTCCTGCACTGGCTGCCCTGGTAGGTGGTATCCCTTGGTTCCGGGTCCCATCCCTTTTGTGTTGGTTTGCTATATGGATGACGACTTGACTACTACTAACCAGGCTCATGGGGTGGGCGACCAGGCCCCTGAGTCGGACCGTCCTGGAAGACCGGGATCTGTAGCCTCCACTACAGAGCCCGGTTTAGGCCCAGACCGGACTCTTCCTCCCTGCTCCCCTCCCTCCTCTGTGGTTAGGTCGAGCCCCAAGCCTGCTGTGGTGACTGTCTCGTCCCTTTGCACGGCTCCAACTCTTCTTGCGACTACTGAACCTTTCAACCCGTCTCTCTCTACGGGTTCTCATCGCCGCACCCGCCACGGCCGCTCTCGTATGCTCCCTTCCCATCCTCCTTCGTTCCATGCTTTGTTTGGTCCTGCTACATGGACTAAATACTTTGACCTCCAACCTTTGGACTCAACTCCTCCTGATGATTTTTCCCTTCATAGGCATCTTGTCGACTCCGTGGATGCCTCTATCACCTTCAACCCCACTCGTCTTGGTACCCGTGTCGTTGCTGCTCCTTCTCAGGATGCAGCCACTCGCTTGGCCGCCTTATCCTGCCTTGGTGAAACCCCTGTTCGGGTCTCGAAGAACGCCCGGTTGAATGCCAGTGTGGGCACTGTTCTCCTCCCGCACCATGTTGCGACCGGTGTTAGGGATCTCAGGGACTGCCACGAGGATATCAAGCATGTCCTCGAGGCCCAGGGTCATTATGTCCTCCAGGTGGATACATTTACTCGTCCCCCTCGTGGTCATCGCTGTCTGCCTCTTCGGGTTGTGAAGGTTACCTTTGATGGTAGGACCCTTCCATCCTCTGTTATTCTTGCTGGTGCCAGGTGCTCCGTTCAGGAATATATTCCCTCTCCGAGGCTCTGCGGTAAGTGCTGGAAGTTTGGGCATGGTACCCTCAAATGCTCTAGTCCTGTCTCTGTCCCCTGTGTGGAAACGAGGGGTCACTCTAAGTTGGAGTGCACTTCTTCCCAGGCCCGCTGCCTCAATTGCGGTGAGGCCCACCCTACCTTCTCCCGTGTGTGTATTTGTTACAAACTTGAGGCGGCTGTCCTCAACTTGAAGCACCGGGACCGTTTGTCTTTTCCTGAGGCTCAGCACCAAGTTCATCGTCTCCCCTCTTTCGCCGGTGTCATCTATGCTCGCGTGGTGCGCTCTTCCTCTCCTCGTCCTTCCCGCCTTCCTCAGTCTCACAATCGTTTCCGAGCCTTAGACCCGGACACGCCCACCACCACCTCCCCTGTTTCCCTCCGTTCTGTCCCGAAGGGTCCCCCTCCTGGTTCTCTGTCTAGGGCTCCCCTCCTTTCTACCCAGTCTGTCACGTCTCCTGTGTCTTCTATTTCCTCTTCTTCTAGTCCTCCTTCCCGTCCTTCTCCTCCGTCTCCTAGCTCCCCACGCCGCCTGACTGTGCGGGCCGACGTCCATCGTTCTCCTGTTGGTTGTGTTGCTCGCTCTCGATCTTCTCCTATCGAGACACTGGAGTCTGTTGCCCAGTACGTTGCTGCTGGGACGCCTGTATCTTTGAGTCAGAAGCGGAAACCTGGCTCCTCTCCTTCCTCCTCCCCTGTCGGTAAGAATTCTTCACCCCCTCTCTCCGATTCTATCATTCCTTTTCCTCCCGCTTCGGTGGTGGTGCCCCCTGTTCCTACTGTGGGGGTTTCTTTAGCCCCTGGTTCCATCTCGGTTACTGCCCTTGCTGAGGTGCGCTCCCCTCTTTCTGCCCCCCTCCTCCCCTTCCTTCTCCTCCAGACCCTGCTCGTCCACCTTTGGTCCGTCCTCCTGCTTCTTGCCCTCCTTCTTTACTCAGTTTACCCATGCCCCCTAACCCTGACTTCGCTGACCCTGATCCTGACTCTGTGCTTTTTTAGCGTGCTGTGTTCCTTCTTCACCTTTGTTTCTTCTTTGCTCTCTGTTGCTCTCCTCTCTCTCTTTGCTGATGTCTTTTCTCCAGTGGAACATCCGTGGATTTTATGCCAATTTCCTTGACCTCCAACTTCTCATTTCACAGTTTTCGCCCCTTTGTGTCTGTCTCCAGGAGCCGATGCTTGGTTCTCGTCCTGGTCGCTTCCGTGGCTATTCTTTTCCCTCCCCTCCCCCAGCTATCGCTGGGGTTCATAATTCTTCTGCTCTCTTGATTCGTTCCGATGTTCCCTTTGTCCCCTTACTTTTTTCCTCGCCTCTCCACTGTTCTGCGGCCCGTATCTTTGTGCGTAGATGGTACACGGTTTGTTCTATTTATCTACCCCCCACTGTCCCACTTTCTCTTCCCGATCTTAAACACCACCTAGACTCCTTGCCGGAGCCTGTGCTCCTGCTGGGTGATTTCAATTGTCGTCATGCCATTTGGGGTGATGTGCTGACAAACACCCGGGGTCGCCTCCTTGAACCTTTCATCTTCTCTTCTTCCCTGTCCCTTCTTAATGGGTGAGCCCACTCATTTGGACTCTTGGACTCGCTTCCTTTCTTGTCTCGATCTTTCTCTGTGCTCGTCATCCCTTTCCTTAGATTTTGGGTGGCGAGTCCTTGATGACCTCCATGACAGTGACCATTTTCCTATCCTTGTCACTTTTTTCTCCTTTCACCCTCCTCTCTCCTTCCCTAGGTGGCGGTTTGCTGAGGCTGACTGGCGCCTCTTTACTCTCCGTGCTACTATTTCCGACCTCTCCGTTTTACCTCTCCCTCGCGCTCTCCTTCTTTTTCATGACTGTCTTTGACGCTGCCCTCCACTCTATTCCTCGCTCTTCCTCTCGGGGAACGCGGAAGTGCTTTCCCTGGTGGAGTTTGGACTGTGCTCGGGCTGTCCGCTGTAAGCGTGCAGCCTGGAAGAAACATCGCCACCGGCAGACGGTTGAGTCTTTTCTTTTGTTTCGGAAGGCGAGTGCGGTGGCCCGTAGGACCATCCGTGCGGCTAAACGTGCTTGCTGGGAGTCTTATGTCTCCACCGTTACGTCCGAAACTCCTCTTCCACTGGTCTGGAAGCGTATCCGCAAGATTGCGGGTAAGTTCGTTCCCGATGTCTCACCGGT